TGGGTTGGAGTTTGTGCCTTGCTGCCCATAGTCAATACCTGCTCGACGCGAGCGCCGCCCGCACGAAGAGAGCGGACGAGCATCCCTTGGATCCTGTCGAAATCAACGCCCACGCCGACGATGGAAGAGCAGTCTCAGTTCCAGACCGACACCCCTATCCGAGTTTGATCGACTGCCGTCCGTTTGTTTCTTTCTCAACGACAGGAAACACCTTGGTCTCGAGAGCCGATACAAGCTACTTTCCCCTCCTCCTCCTCCTCCTCCTCCCTCCTCCCCCTTCTCTTGACTAGCCATGCATCAACAAGGCCGGGTGCCACCGAGGCTCGCCTCGCCAGCTAGGTCACCCATGCGATCCAACAGCCTGCGAGAGGGCGCTGTGGGATCTCGTCCGCGGGCGGGATCGAGCCTCTCCGCCAGGGAATCTGCGAGCTCACCCACGATGGAGCAAACCGGACCGCCGGCTGAGTCAATAAGGAAGTTGGATCAGATAGTCCAGGTAAGTTGGATCATGGCTCTGTCGAGGACGAGTGCCTTTATATCTGGCTTTCAATGGGCTAACCTTGCTTGTGCCACCAGAACTTCCACACCAAAATCGCCGCTGTCGTCGTCTCCTCCCGCATGAAAGTTAAGCCAGTCCACGGCGCCAATGGGGTACCGAAGATTAATAAATGGGTATGGCCCAAACTATGTGTGGGAATGGAAAAGCTAGATGTCTAACCGTGCTGCTACAGTACCAAATCGAAACCGAAGAGATTGACGAGTTTAGGGAAGAGCTGAGAATATGGAAGAACTGCGGCAGCCTTGAGAACCGCCCTCCACCCATGATCATCGAGGTTTATCTTGATGCGTCGACGCTCAAGGAAAGCCAGAGTCTTGTCATCATCGACGAGGACGGGAAGCGCTGGGATGTCCTAGAACAGCTCGCTGCGTCGACATCTTCGAGTGGCAGCGATTCCCTCGCCAACATCAGAAGGCCGACTGAGGTTATACTAGAGCGATGGCGCGTGGAACTCAAATCGATTGTCGATAAACCTTTGGACGACTTCGGACCCATTTTGCCTACCATCTACAAAAAAGCTATTGTATTCTTCCGATCTCTCTTTGTCGCTACCAAATTATTGCCGGCGTGGAAGTTTGCTAGCCAAGGCAATATTAAAAACTCACACCCGGCCCTGATTCCCCAGTGCAGGATTAGAATGTCGGACCCGGACAGGTCAAGGCCCGACCTCTTGAAGAATTCCATCGACGGGAGAAGGGACGCAACGACGGAGTACATGTTTGGAGATCTCGAGGTGCCTGTTGGCAGGCTATGTACCTCTGTGATTTATCGAAACGACTGCACATTCCGCGTTGACGACGCAGAGTCACTTTTGAGCTCCCGTTTTATGGGAGTTGATGAGAATTTCTTCAAGCCATCATTACCACAGCGACATATGACTGAGGCGGGCTCACTGAGAGACCACCGCCGGGGAGTAAGCGTGAATGACGTTCACCAGACATATGGTAGTCTGTCAACCTTTCACGGCGATGGTCCCATAGGAACGAGCCCTATATCTGCGCTTCGTGCGGTCAAGCCGCCCGGCTCAGATACGAGCTCACCGCCAGCATCATTTCCGCGACAAACGGATAATGGGGCAGCGCCTCATTCACTGCCGATATCAGGGCGAGGGTCTGCAGCAAGACCCACGGCCCGCCTTGGAGAAGATCGAAGAAGGCCCTCTATATCTTTTCAACCATTTAAAGCTGGATCCCTATCTGGATCTCCTGTTCCCCGACACACTGACCCAGAATCGCCCGCATCTCTTACTAGACCTAGCTTACCGTCCCTCCGACAACCAGGAAACCGATCTTCGTTGACCGCAGGTATGCCGGCCTCGCTTCGCGGACCGACTTCCGTAAACACCACCGATTCACCCTTAGCAGGATCCCCACGACCCGCATCGGCCAGCAAATATAGCAGCAGCTTCACGCACCGGAGAGGGCGATTGTCGATTGGCAGCACGAGTCGGATGGGTGATGAAGAGCAGAGCAGCAGCGGGAGGCAGAGCCTGGCCTCATCGATTGCGCAACCAGGATCCGGATTTCTCGCTGAGGTTGGAGCTGCAAGCTATAGTTCGCTGCAGACCGAGGAGGACGATATTTCTGATTTCCTCAAGGCTCTAGACAGCAAAAAGACTCTAAAGTCATTCGAACCAAGCAAGAAGGGAGAATCAGCAACGAGCAGAACGGTAGCTCAGCTGTCCAAGTTCCAAATGATGAGGGAGTCGAACAACGCCTTGACCGAGTCAATGACTTCTTCGATGCAGCTTAATCGTTCCTCAACTGTTTCAAGCAGGCAGCTCGCCAATTTGACTAGCATCGGTGGAACGATTTCGCTATCTACATCTTCTTCTCCCGGAAAACCAGTGTCACCGCATACACCACATACGCCTGCAATCCCATCTCGCCTCAGTGAGAATTCGATTATAGACTATACACCGGCGACCTATACGAGGGTAGAGCCGCCTGCAAGAGGCTCATCACAAGCTAGAGCAACAGGGTCGACTCAGGACGGTACGACTGCGATTGATATTCCTCTATCCCCTAGACTGGGTACCCATCACCGCCGATCAAGCTCTGTTGCTCAGCAGGTTCGAGCTGCAACTGATGACGAGGAGGCCGATCTGCCGTTTGCCACGCATCGAAGCATTAGTCTCGGGGCAAACGATAGGGAGCCACCGACTCTGAGTACGCTTCTTGGACGACAAATGCAGTTGGAAGAGGAGTTACCTGGGCAGCAAGAGCCATCCAGCCCGCTTCGGCCGGCGGCTGACATCCAAACTGCCGAGTCATCGGACGTGATCCAACGAGGCTCGGCGAGCGACACACCCCCGGATGGCTTTATTTCTTCGACGCAGCCGAGCTCTCCCTTCCATCGACGGCGGTATGCAGGGATGGCAGGTGGCCGTCGAAGCACCCCTCCGCACTCTTCTCGAGGCAGCTTCGCTGGGTCGACTAGTAGGCTTGGTCGCCCAGACGATGAGACTGTTGGTGAAGAGCCGCTAGTCTTTACCCTCTCTGAGATGGACGCTTTGGGGAGGCGAAGCCTGGAAGAAAGCCGCGGCGGTAGCGGTAGCGGTAGCGGCACCGCATCTACTGAACGACCCCATTTCGAGCCACGAGGCACGACTCGAAGAGGATGGGCCGAGTGATGCTGAGAAAATCACACGAAACTTTTACTTTTGCTGGCTAAAGATTGATTGATTGATTGCACAGATTGTTGATAGACTCATCATCTTGCTCTTTAAAAAAGCCCTCCAGTGTCGGGCTTTTGAGACAGCATTTTGTTCTAATGATTGACTGGATATTTTGATTTTGGGGCGTTGATGGTATCTCCTTATAAAATTGTCGCTCTTCTCGCCTCTCTTTCTCTTTTATCCTTTCTCTTCCTTTTGCTTTTATCAGGTTCTTTCTTTCTTTGTTCTTCTTTCTTTTTGGATACCGGTAACATGGAACCCCCCACAACGGGCACGGGGATTTAGGGTTGCATTTTTTCTTTTTCTACTCTTTGGACCTTATTTTTCTCCTCCCTTTGGCCGGCGAGCGGCTTTGTTATTTCTGCTGTGTTGTTATTAGTATTACGGCCTGGAGAGCCTGTGTGTATATATCGGTAGGGGGGGACGAAATGGGACGAACGAGACACGGTTTGGACAGGTACTACAGGCAGACAGCTTGACGATGTTTGGATCTACGATGAGGGGCTGCACTGGAGAGTATATGGGGCCTCGAGGCAATGTACAAAGTAGGCGAAGATTTCTTTTCTTAAAAGACTGGAATTTGAGAATTATATTTATTCGATTGCTTGACCGATGTAGTCTGTCTCGTCCACTTGTGAGGGTGAAGACAGATACGGTGCTCCTATATCTTGTAGTATATATGTTGTAGGATGATCTAAAGGTGTCTTGCAGCAAGAAACGAACGCAGACACGCAACCCGTCAAGCTCCCTAGCTCATCTTCATTGGGTTCCATGGACCTACACGTAATTATGCGTGAGAGGATTCGATATCGTGAATACGCGGCCTAGCTATTTTATCACGAGATTTCTGTTTGTTTTGTACTCAACGGTCTACGAAGCTTGGGACCTATAAATGGATTAGGCCTAGACATCCATTGATGGGGCGAAATGACGAGATAAGGCGGGATGGGCGTGGCGTTGGAGTGGCGCGGCCAACCACGTAATGCGGAATGGCACTGGGGCGCTTCAGCTGCTGAGCCTCTGCTGTGAGGATGACGGACTCTAAGCTTTATTACAAGGTTGCATGCAAATCTGGGTAGGTACATGCCTATCTTTTGAGGCTGGCAGACTGTAATATTCCATTGATGTTGATGAAACCTTGAAATTAACAAATAGAATATTGCAGAAAACAGCAATGAATTGCCCTGTTCACTTACCTTATCCGTCTTTGTACCTGATGTGTTCAAGTGTCGCTTTTGCAATACTCCCAGGTACAAGCTGCGGGTACGGAGGCCTGGATGCTCGCTGCGGATTACGAGGCGAGGTACTTGTGCACTTGGGACCTGCTGCGTGAACCCATGGCTGCATTCGCCGGCAGACAAGGTACCCGGCCCAGCAATTCTGGAGGTGCGAGGCCAGTGTCGTAACTCTGAGCGGGTACCCGCCCGTCCTCGCCTTGTACCTACATGTACATGCATGTGCGCACTGGGTGGCTCACAAAGTGCTACTGTACCTCTAGGCTAACTAAGGCAGAGAGGCACCTAACACTATTAGAACTGCTCAACTTAGACTCGACACCTCCACGATCCTGCTTTTCTCCAACTCGGCATCCTGTCGTCACCTGCTTCGCCCGTTGCCGATAAGAAGCTTCCGTATCTCCTGCGAGCTTCAGCAATATCCGTTCGCCAACAGCCAAAACTCCGTGCGACCGCATCTCGAGCTGCTGCCTTAGCCTCAGCCTAGCCCTTTCAACAAACGTCATACCTCTAGTCGTCAGCAGTAGCCATGTTCCGAGCGGCGGCGGCTGGGCCGTTTGACGAAGTCGTCAGTGAGTTTTTGCAAACCCAGGGAGATGCTCGCATCGATATCATCTTGATGATGCTCTCCTTGTTGCCCCTGTGTACTTGCTAACAGCATCGCAGCCAAGGCGACTGACGAGAATCTGACGTCGGAGGACTGGGGCGCCATCATCGAAGTATGCGACAAGGTGTCTGGCGACCAGAATGGCTCCAAGGAAGCCGTCCAGAGCATGATCAAGAGGCTCGCCCACCGAAATGCCAACGTGCAGCTCTACACTCTCGAGGTTCGTCCATGTTCATCCCCTTTGTCCCTTCTCATGGCGGCAGGATTTCCCCCGCTCGCCGCCGAGGCCGTAAAAATCACCCGACTAATGCCTCTCCCACCAGCTTGCGCACGCCCTCTGCCAAAACTGCGGGAAGAATATGCACCGCGAAGTCTCCAGCCGCGCTTTCACCGAGGCCCTGTTGAAGCTGGCAAACGACCGCAACACCCACCAGCAGGTAAAGAGCAAGATCCTGGAGAAGATGCATGAGTGGACCGAAATGTTCAGCAGCGACGCCGACCTGGGCATCATGGGCGACGCCTTCCACAGGCTGAAGCAGAGCAACCCTTCGCTACAGCCGCCCAGCGCACCCCAGAAGCAGGGCCTGACCGACCAGGACCGACAGAAGGAGGACGACGAGTTACAGATGGCCCTCAGGCTCAGCTTGCAAGACGAGGAACACAAGAAGCCGGCTCAGGCGGCGCCAACTGCCCAGGCAGGGTCCAGCAATCAACAACAGCAGAATGCCCCGGCGTCCACTGCCGTGCCCTCAGGTACCACGGCTGCCACGGTCAGCAGGGTGCGCGCCCTCTTCGACTTTACGCCCACCGAACCCGGCGAGCTGGAATTCAAGAAGGGTGATGTCATTGCTGTGCTGGAGAGCGTGTACAAGGATTGGTGGCGTGGATCGCTCAAGGGAAAGACTGGCATCTTCCCTCTCAACTACGTCGAGAAGCTAGCGGATCCTACACCAGAGGAGATGCAGCGAGAGGCTCAGATGGAAGCGGAGGTTTTCGCTGAGATCAAGAACGTGGAGAAGCTCCTGACGCTGTTGAGCGCTTCTAACACGGGGCCTCGAGAGGAAGACAACGAAGAGATCTCCGTACGTATTCGCTGGCGCATTGAAACACATCCGTCTTGAAACACAAATCTATCACCAGGGTGCTAACCACTTTCCTCAGAAACTATATCACCAGACGCTTGCAATCCGCCCAAAGCTGATCAAGCTGATTGAGAAATACTCTCAAAAGAAGGGTAATGACCACTTTCACTAGCCTATCATTGCACACCGCTAACAACCAACGCAGATGACTTCACCCAGCTCAACGAAAAGTTCATCAAGGCTCGAAGAGACTATGAATCGCTGCTAGAGTCGTCCATGTCTCATCCTCCTCAGCACAACTACCAACAGTATGCCATGCGCCCAGGCCCTCAGGGGTACGCGCCGCCAGGAGGCAACTATCCACCACAGCCTCAACAGCAGGATCCCCAGAGATTCTACACCCCTGGTCCTCAAGGTTCGATTTCCCGCACACCTGCGCATTGAAGTGATTCAACATTGTTGTCAGCTCTAGTTGCTAACCGTTGGTGTAAGGCCGGCCACAGTACAACCAGACTTCTTCCCCACCTCCTAACTTCCCACAGCCTGGGGCTCCTGCACAAGGTCCTCCTCATTCTACGCTAGCCCCCTTTTACGTAGCAGGGACCGAAGTGCCAACTCATGCTGCTGCAGGCCAGCCGCCCGCTGCTCAGCCATATCCCCCGAGAGAACAAGCTCCTAGAATACCATCCAATGGCAGCCAACCTCCTCCCCTCAATACCTCAACATCACCGCCCCCTCAAAATTTCAACCCCTTCAAACAGCCCGGTAACCAGCAACCACCAAGCACCTACGGCGCCCAGGAACTGGCTACATCTGTATACGATTCTCCTATTGCTCCTAACAACCCGACCTCTGCCGCCACATATTCTAGCTCTGTCTATTCTCAAGAAGGCCCAGGCATGCCTCACCCAAAGGATAACGAGCCAGTAGCTCCCTATACTACGCAGCAACAACCGTCGTACCAGAGCTACCAGCCCAATCAACAACCCCCTTCTGCTCCTCCCGGCCAACGCCCTCCTAACACCATGAGCCCACCACCCTTGCAGCCTGGTGGCGCTGCATACGACGCTCGTCAAAATCTACCAAGCCAATCAGGCGCGGCTGGTGGCCCTCAGTATAGGCCGTATGTGCCTCCAGGTTCGGCGGAACCTAGCGCTCCAGCTCCAAACGACTACTATCGCCAACCGGGAGTCTATTAATTTAGTTAATGAGCGTGATTCGTCAGACTAGATGTACTGGCTTCAGAATGTTAATCAGTGGATTGTTGGTTCAACAATGAGGAAGCGATTTTTTACTCTGTTCTTATGAAAGGGGAGGAAGAATGCCTTTTGTTTTTTCTATCTTTGGGTTACATGAATGGAATGCCTAGCGTGGATATGGGATGGAGAGAGATAATAGGAACAATACCTTGTTTTTTTCCCGCCTAACTTTTTTTTTTGAGTTGATTGGTTATGCTCCATTACTTGTGTTGCTCCTCTTGACATGGTTGTTGTGAATTTGATGGATAATGTGTGAGTTTCGTAAAGGGTCTCTAATTGTTGAGATGTATATTCATAGCATCGTATACAGTCAATATACATGTACTCATTCATGAGGTGTAATTGAACCTCGTCAAAGCCAGCAAGCACTCTCATGGTGCTACCAAAACAATTTCCCATCCAGTCCCTTTCCCATATCTATATCTCATAATCATAATCATAGTCATAAAAACATAACTCTCTACCACCGTCGTGCATACGCACTATTCTCGGGCTTCTGCACCTTCTTCCGCCCCGTCTTCTGCAAAAACGACACAGCATCCTTAGCCCTCCTATCCTCATCCTCCGCCGCCGCAGTATCGTACTGGACATGTGCGCCGCCGTCCTGGAAGCGCGAAGTATGGATGGGTTTGAACAGCTCGATGATTTCGTTGAGGCCGAGCTTGAGAGCGCCCTTACGGGAGGATCCTTCGATGGTCTGCTCGGCGAGGAGGCGCTTCTTTTCTTGGAGCTCGAGAATACCTTCTTCGACGGTGTGGGTGACGGTGAGCTTGTAGACGACGACGTCTACGGTTTGGGTGAGGCGGTGGACTCGGTCTATGGCTTGTTCTTCAACGAACTGCAGTAGTAGTCAGTATCTGATATATAAGAAGAAGAAGAAGAAGAAGAAGAAGAAAAGGAAAGGAAACATTGATCCAAGAAAAAAGAAAAACTTACGGGATTCCAAAACGGCTCAATGATTATGACCCTCGTCGCAGCAGTCAAGTTCAAGCCCAAACTACCGCACTTGAGACTGCAAAGCAACACCCTCGTCGACTTATCCTCACGAAGCTTCCGCAAACTCTCCTCTCGCGCATCATTCCTCATACTACCGTCGTAACGCGTGAACCGGAACCCTTCCTTGCGCAGGAACGGCTCCACCAAGTCGAGCATCGACGTAAACTGCGAAAAGACGATGAACTTGTGCTCGTGGGCCTCTGCGCGCAGCAACTTGGTGAGTTCGCGGATCTTGGCTGATGAAAAGATGCTCTTGCCGTCTGGCGAGGGGTCGTACTCTGAAGAGGCATCTGAGTCTTCCTCTTCAGACTCGGATTCAGTCTCTGAATCGGCGTCGGTCTCTGAGCCAGCTTCGGAATCATCATCAGAAATTGTGATGATGCGTTTCGACTTTGCCTTTGAAGTGCGAGGGGCCTTGTCCTTGAGCGTCTGCGAGGCCATACCCCTTGTTATTTCAGATACGGACAAGAGAGAGTCGTCATCCGACTCCTCGTCCACAGACTTGTACCCTTCTTCATTCCTGGCGATCGAATCATCCACCACAAAGCTATCAAGGTTGCTTTGATCATCATCGTCTTCTTCTTCAGAGTCTTCGGAATCCTCTGATCCTATCGAGTCTCCGCCACCTTCTGCGTTCTCGTCTTCTGATCCTCCAGCTTTACCGAGCTTCAAGGCTCCTCGCTCGCTCTCCGAGACAATCCAGCTGCCTTCATCATCATCCTCTTCTTCTTCATCGCTGTCAATGACGGCTTTGCGGTTTCGATGACGACGAGATGTTTGCTTCGGTTCCTCCTCATCTTCATCATCACTATCAAGAACAGCATTCCGGTTTCGTGGTCTACGAGTATTTCGTGGTCTGGGCTGTTCTTCCTCTTCCTCTTCTTCTTCTTCCTCCTCGTCCTTCGGACGTCTCTGTTGTCGCTTTTTCTCCCCCTTCTTCTTGGAGGATGCTGTTTTCACAGCCTTTTTAGCCTTCTTCTTTGTCTTAGTGTTTGACTTCTCGCTGCCGTAAAAGAATGCCAAATCCGAAGCGCAGTCAGCACAATGGTCATCTCCAGAATCTCGTCCCTTTTTATCCACTGGTCGGCCGCAAATGCTACACTCCTTAGTGGTGATTCCCATATCTGAAAACAAATCGGCCACCGAATCCACATCCGCATCTTGCTGCTTCGAATTCGAAACGCCCGTTGAAAGCGCATCCTTGTCATCCCCTAGCTTTCCCTCGAGCAGTTTTGGGTGATTACACGCCTGTCGCAAACGTAGCAGCAATGTAAAGGCGTTGGCGTAGCTCATCTTTTCTTTCATCATCCTTGCCATGCTTTGGTCGGCACGAGCTTCCAACTTTTGGTAAAACCTCCGCTCTGCAGGAGATAACTCAGTAGCGACAGTGACAACCTTACGGTTGGTGTGTCTAAATCCGTTTATCGCTGCTGAACCGTCGGCTGATGGCACTCCGCCAGGTGTGAGTGCACCAGCCTGCTTCAGAATCTCCTTTGTCCGTCTCTTCATGAAACAGCGAAGGAAGCTGTGAAGCCTACCGAGAGCGATATGGCCTTTGCCGCCTTTCATGGGGAGCTCGATCTGATCCTTCCATGCTTTTAAATCATCGTAGGGCCTGATGCGAAGAAACTTGATGAGGGACTGCAACTCTTCAAGATTGTTCTGCATTGGTGTACCGGATAAGCACCATCGATACTCTGATCGCAGCGCACAGCAAGCCTTGGTGGCCTTTGCATTGCGGTTCTTGATGGTGTGTGCCTCATCGAGGATGACTCGCCACCAGTGAAGTCCAAAACAACCAGTCGGGGCATCATCCAACGACTTTCCGTGCTCAGAGACGAGGATCTGGTAGGTCGTAATGACAACATCGTACGTCTTAAGGTCCTCGGGATGCTTTGTCCTCTGTGGACCGTGATGTACCAGTACTTTTAGACCGTGTTGCTTGACTACCCTCTCGTTGATCTCTGCCTCCCATTGCCTGATCAATGCCAGAGGGGCAACAACGAGAGTCGTCTTGTCGACCTTTTGAAAACTCTTTTTCCAACCCTCCTCGTCCTTTTTTGGCTTTTGATTGAGGAGGATAAGGGAGATTGACTGCAGCGTCTTGCCCAGTCCCATGTCGTCGGCAAGCAAACCGCCTTTGGGAACAGTTCCCTTCTTGACCGGACCGAGTTCACGGCCACGCATCCAGTTGACACCCTCTACCTGGTGAGGTAGCAATTGTACCTTGAGACCAACTACATTGCCATCTTTGGCTATAGTCTTGGGATCTTTGGGGGTTGTATCGTCTGTGGGCTTCTTCTTCCCTTCTTCTGATGGCTCTTGTTTCCCATCGGGTTCGACTCCTTCGTCGTCATCGCCCTCCAGGCCTCCCTCCAGCAACGCCTTTAAATCTTCGCTAGCCTTTGCCGGATCTGTATAGAAAACCTCTTCTCCATGACGTTGCGGTGCTGCAGCTATCGAAGGCACAGTCGAAGCCGACGACGGGACTGAGCTGAACATGGGAGGCGGAGGTGCGATTCGAGGGTGGTACGTCGGCGCTCTGGGGCCATTGACTTGGCTTTCGAGATGGTGCTCGGGGCGAGTCTTCTGACGGATGAAGATGTCGGCTTTCTGCTTACGAGAGGACATCATCTTGGTCGGGTGCCCAAAGGTGGGATGGGCTGTTGCTGCTCCAAAGGCACTGCTGGTATCGGCCTGCCCATTGCTCTTGAGAGTGGACTTGATCAAGGCTGAGATGTCAGTGTCGCTCTCGGGGTCATTGGCATTATCAGCGGCCCGCTGCTTGGACCCTCGCTCTTGGACCATTGCTGATCTTGATCTGTGAGGTTGTGGTTGTGGTTGTGGTGATGGAGGGGCAAGATTTCAAGGGTCCTAAGGTGGCTTGGGTTCCCGATATTGGGCTTCAACTATCAGGCTTGATTGAGTCTGGTCAACTAGAAAGAAGAATAAAAAACAACAAAATGAAAGGAGACGAAGAGCCTTTAAATGCAAAACATAGCCCGATTTTCTTACTATGTTCTCGCTTTTGATTCTCGCAAATCATGCACTTCGACACGCCCCTCACTTGCACATGATTCTCGTTCACGATTGTCAGGTACCAAAAACCAACAACCCAAGTCAATGCCAAACGCCATGACATAATTGCCCCAGCAACTGACACACACCAAACGCGAAGCGTCCAATAGCCTAACAGACACTGTGATAAACAACTAGAGGCCTACACCTCACACAGTGCTTACAGTGCGGTTGGCGATTCGGGGGTACTGAGGACCTATCTCGGAAAAAGCACAGGTAACATGGCGGACTAAGCGACGAAGGGATTCACTACTTCGAGGGAAATCAAGAAATTTGGTTTCGACTATATGCCTGAAAAGCTTATGAAGTTTTTTTTGGGAAGAAATCTGTCTAAAGAGTTGATGACTCGTAGACATGAGAATACATAACACACATCTCTAGCCATTTATCTGCTCCCCTCCGAGCCTGCTTCCTTATCTTCATCTTATGGAGCTCTTGTATCACCAAACCAAACATTACCCTGTCTTCGCTCACAAGTATCGTTTCCTTTCGCCAAATTCATAGCCTAGTAAACCAGCTTGAAGATGTCGTTCTTGACGACGAAACCAGTGATTTCGCCGCCGGCACCCTGGGTAACGCTGACCTTGAAGTTCTGGACAAAGTTTATCAGGTTCTCATCCTCGTCGACCTAGAGTCATACAAGTCAGTCATATCCTCGCCACACTCTGGCTTGCTTTCTTTTTGATATCGGATTCAGTACCTTGAGCTTTCCGGTAACCAGGATCAGGAGATCGCCAGAGGCAAGCTGGGCGTCAAGGGTGGAGAGCTGGTGACCGCTCATCTTGAAGGGGAGGCTCTGCGCAGAAGTTAGATACAGCGCTTTCAATAAACGTATATCAAGAGGGTTCAACGCACGGTCAGCTTTCCCAGAATGGCCTCGGCACCCTCAAACTTCTGAGACTCGAAAGTGAGGACGGACTCGGGCCTCTAGTTGCGAACATTAGTGGAAAGGCGCTCCCGGAATGCTGCCTAGCATCGCAAACGTACGTAGACCGCAGCCAGGCCCTGGATGTTTGTGCTCATTCCCGTGAAGAAGCCATTGACAAACTGCTCTGCGACAGAGAAAGATTTCGCGTTAGAAGACTCGGCTCAGCGACAGCGATTTCGAACACACATACTGGCGATTTCCTCGATGTCTATAGCAGTTTTGCGTGATTAGCATCGTCCTGGCGCATCGGCGGAGGGGTTGTTTGCCGTCTTACTAGACATTTTAGCGGCTGTATTTTCGAGAGCGCTTCAAGAACTAGCGAACGTAAGCTTTTGCGCAAGAGTCTACCGCTGAGGCGAGAGCTTCGGAGACAAACAATGGGTATATATTCGTAGTTGGGTTATCGCAAAATGTGCCCAAGGCTTTGAAGAACGATAAACGGTAGGGAGGGATGGTGGGGTAGATGAGGGACACACAGTGCCAACATGTTTTTTTTTTCTCATGTCGTGCTCCGTGGGTGAATATATCCGATAAACGCATCGAGCTGTACAACAGCTGCGTATGTACATAATTGGTGGGGCGAGAGCTCTGATAAGGGGGCACATGCATTAAAGAGGATGCTGCTCTATATCTTTGATCCGCCGAAAATTTGACAGCTTCAGGTCAAGACTCTTTTTCTTCACAAGCTGGATTCCATTAGGGCCAGAAGATAATTAGCCCACTACGACTTTTCATTCTTGCTTCATCGCGACAATGTATTGATTTTGAACTAAATGGTAAGTCAATTAGACAAAACTGGTGCTTTTCTAGCAAAACATCCCATCTCTTTCCTGATGATAAAACTTAAGAACGGCCAACTGAATTTCATGTTGAATTCTTAATCACCAACTTTATGTCTGACACGAATACACATTCTCTATATGCATTATCCTTCTTCATTATTACATCTCATTTGAAGCTTGCAACCGCTAACAGGATCGCAATTCAGCTCGTCAATACCCCTCTGACCTTACGCGATTCGCTTATACTCCGCCGTTCCTTCAGGCATGGGATCCGTTCGACTCTCCCATACAATCTCAATCGCGGAAGGCTTTCCATCGGCGCCCACCTTAAACTCCGCTGCCATAAAGTCCACGTATTTGCGGCCGCCGTAGATTGGCGCTGGTAGGTATACGATCCAATGATCGCCAGAGACGTGATGAAAGTGCATTGAGTAGTTCCACGTGGAGTCTGGGCGATCCGCAACAAGAATCTTCTCGCCCGGCTTATCTGGGTGAGGCTCTTCGCGAAGGGTAATGTTTCCGTATCCGACATTGTAGTATGTGCCCAGCAACTCGCTCGTAGACAACGTAGATGGCAATCCGGGATTTGGCCTGTCAGGGTACAGAACGTCCAGCGCATTGTCGTACAACCAATCCAGCTTCTCTTCGGCTTTGCTCCACCTAATACAGAGTCAGCAATCATAAATGAATCTTCGTATATTGTATACGGAGTACGATGCCGATTGAAAACTTACTTGGCGCCAAAATCAGCGCGGTCCTTTTCAGGAATACCAAGTTTGTCTTCAATGAGCTTCCATCCAACAATCTCTTCCACGACATGGCATTTGGCGGTATTTCCTAAGGCTACCACACCATACTTGGCCTCCGGAAACCAATAAACCTCAGCTCCATACGCATGCATCCCTCCGCTATGGGTATATAACACATGGCCTTTATGCAAAGTCCTAACCCAGCCAAGCCCATAAAGCTGGAGATCGAGGCCATTTCCAGGCTCCCCAGGCCAAAACACTCTCGGCGTTCTGATATCCTTGTGGACATCTCCAGATAGAGGACCAGACTGGTGAATCAAGCTCTTCACCCATTTCGCATAGTCGACAACGTTGGAGATGACGGATCCCGCTCCGCTGACTTCGGTCAAAGTCATGAATGGGATTTCCTCATACTCTTCCTTGTCCAAGTTCCAGGCATATCCCGAAGCCATGTGCTCAGGAGCATCCAAAGCGCTCTGCAGGTCAAAATAGGTCGACGTCATTCCTAGAGGCTCCCACAGGAGCTCCCTAAGCACATCGCCAAGCCACTTGCCCGTGACCGTCTCAATGACATACGAAAGCGTCACGTACATCAAATTGCAGTAATAAACCGTCACCCGCGGCTCAGCAGTCATTGGCAAATTCCGCAGATTGCGAACAATGTCCCTCGGAAGTGCCGGCCTTCCATCAATCTCCTTGACGGAAGAAATGTCGTGACGGGGCATGCCCGTTCGGTGGCTCACGGCATCGTCCAAAGTAATGTGATTCGTCGCCCAATCGTCCTGCAGGACAAAGTCGTCCCGGATAATGGATGAAATGGGCGTCGCCCAGCCCTGCGAAAAGGCCGAGTAATTGCTCGAGTGAATAAGCGCAGATAGGACAGCAGCTACTTGCGCTTTGCTTGTCGATGCGCCGTACCAGAGAGTCTCTGGCGTAGCTGGGATATCCGGCAACGTCGCATATCCATAACCCTAGACCAACAGCGTCAGAAGAGCAATCTCGTATTATACTATACGTCAATCAATTTCGTATAAAAGCACTCACCTCGGTATACACATCATCACCGTCAATCACCGCAATTGAAACGCCGGGAACCTTCCACTTCTCCAACTGCTCACGCACAAAACCCCCAAACTCAGCCGTCAATGGGTTTCCACTCGCGGTAGAACCTTGCTCTGAAATTGGCTTCTGCTCGCTCTGCGCGTGGACGTATGCTGCTGCATTTACACGACTTCCGGCAATCGCCACGGCCGCGGCAAGGCCAAGCGCTGGGAAGAGGCGCAAATGTCGACCCATGATTAAGAGTTCTCGAAGAAAGCCAATAACTAGTGTGTTTTGCCTCCTTTCCCTTCTTTACTTACTTCTTCCGTACAATCACATAGAATCAAGATTCAACCCAGAGGAAACAGATGACGTTCACTCGTATATATAACCTAAGGTATCTATAGATTTGGAGTAGCCCCTGGCAAAAGTACCTGGCAAAAGTACCCCGCGTTGCGTAAACGATCGAATCCTTCGCGCAGAGCGTCACATTGAGATGATGTGATATCAAACCCCATGTATCCAACAGCCAACCCCCCAAAACCATGTCAAAGATAAAGGCAGATAACAAAGTCGTATGGAGAAAATACGCTTCCTGCCCCTTTCATGGGATTCTGCATCTGCATATATAAAAAAAGGATGGGCTAATCGATATAGAAGCATCTTTAGGTCAACAAAAACTTGATTCCTGATGCACATCTAACGAATTTTTAGTCCCCCATATATAGCCAACCCTCTCAGCATACCGTAGACTCGCATACCGAAAAGCGGTGGATGAGCAACGCCGCTCGTAGGTCATCGCTATTGTCTATAGGTAAGGGAATGCAACCTGCCACACAGCCCAGCTCCAACTGGCAGCCTGTTAGAAGCGCTCTCCAGATGCCGCTGTGAAAATCGAAAACGGCGTCCCAAGGCCCCCAGGTGCCCCCATTGTTTCCGTCCACATTTATTCCGGCTCTCCTTTTTACCAAATCCAGTGAAAGGATAAAAAAAATATACTTGGCTTCAATCACATCCAGCAAATTCGCTCGTACATCATGGTCCATTCCCGTAAAGCGTAGTCGTCAAAGGCTGATTTCGTGGTTGCGGCAAAATTCGGTTCGCTCTTGATGCGTCGCTTGGTCATTCCAATAAGCAAGTTATTAAGATTTAGAAATATGACCTTGTCAAATTTCCCCGAGGTATAGAGTGCCTTGGCAAACACACTGCTGCAGCTACAGCTCTTCCTCTTCTATTCTGATTTCTGGTGTTGACGTAGAAGCACCTTCTTTGGTTGGGGATTCAGCTTTAGTGGAAACAGCAGTGCCCAGAGCTGCACTCAGGCTTTGTGTAGCAGAGAATCTATCCCCGTCATTGCCTTGGTCGACGCTTGGCCGTGCTTTCTTAAGCGGACTGCCAACCATTGCGGCGGCAAGAGAATCGAAATTGGCTTGTAGGCTCGAAGAAGCGCTTGGTGCTGATCCGGCCAACAATCCTGGGTCGGCCGGAGAGTCGGTGCGCTGTGAGGTTTCCGGGGTGGAATTTGCGTCGGGTTCGGCCGAATGTGCCCTCTTAAGCTGTTTGTGAAATAACGTCAGTAAATCCAACTCGACCATGACTTTGGGGTGGTTGGGTCATACGTGTATACGGTTAACACCGTCTGCTAATTCGCCTTGGAACTTTGCATCCTCTGGTGCTAGCTTGGAATTGGTTTCCTTGTCGGCTACTTCTTCCATCTTGCCAATGATTGCGCTCTCTTCGTCATCGTCATCGCTATCATCGGCGACGTTGCCGTTGCTCTTCTTCCTAGCCTTCCTTCGTCGCGCCTCTTCGGCTTCTTGATCTCGGAAGGCAGAGAATCCAACAGTGCCGCCTGCTTTGAGAGGGCCTATGTTAGAGAAGTCTATCTGACCCGAGCGCCTTTTGGCAGAGATGGCAGTAGCCTGAGGGTTATTCTTCGCCGATTGAAGGACGCCAATCTTTTGCAGTTGTCCTATTTCGGTGTTAATTAGGGAATACACTCAGATGAGAAGGGAGAAACCCGATATGAATAAAAGGGGAGGGGAGATGAACTTACTTTCACCGCGATAGAAAAATGTAAAGGTAGCATAAGGCTTGTCTGGGCCATCGATTCCAGTAACTGTTTGAGTGCTGATGGTCTTAGGATCAAGCGTCTTGGGCTTGGCAAAACTAGTCGTATGCTCAACATCCGCGTCGATGCCATTGCCATTCTCGTATTCTTCATCCCCGTCGTGTGCGTCAAACTGAGGTGAGTATTCCCCCTTCTTAATCTCTCCTGAAGCCAGGACGCGGAACATTGCCACCTTAATCTGACCTGTCGCCTCCGGGGGTTCGTCGTCATCATCCGACCAAGAGTCAGAATCGTCATAGACTGCTTCGATGGGGGAAGCCTCATCGCCATATCGAAGAGTTCCCTTGCGCCCATCTGCATCCATGGTAGAGTTCCCCTCCAAAGCTGCGGCCTGTCGCCGCCTCCTTCTCTCGAATTTCTGACGCCGCTTCTCGAGCTTTTCCGCAGCATCGTGGCCCTTGAGGTCCAGGCCATTAAGCCAGCGCTCAAGACCAACCTCTCGGAAGAGGAATTCGCGCTCAGCTAGGCCGCCGCCCTCGGAATCGGGGACCTGCACCCAGCGACTATTGACCCAGGTTTCCTCGCCTGGTCGAAGCAGGGTGGCCACCTCTTCTTTGCCTCTCCCATCAAAATAAATGTAGGCGGCAATCGTTTCGTTTTCCGAGTTTGTCAAGGGCATGTAGGGAGCGACCGCTCCAGCAGCCTTGCCTGCATTCTGAGAGCCAGAGTGGAGACCCCCGACGAATTGCGGCTTCGGGTAGGGGTTGGACTCGGACGCCTTGGGAGCCGAGTACGGGATGGGGAGGCCGGGCGTCAAGAGCGTGATGGAAATGGCAAATTTGGCGGGTTCCGGCTTGTTGCTCGAGTTGAGGGTTGGCTGCGGCACCGGAATGTAGGTGCTGATGCGGGACAGCCTCGACTGCTTCTGGATGCCGTATTCGGGGAGCGGAGCGGAGTTGGCATGGATGCTCACCGCAATGCCCTTGAAGCAGGGCATCGTTTCGGAAGGAGAGCTTTTTGTAGGAAAGATGCTTATCGCTCGAGCGAGAGGGGTTTGGCCAGGCGAGAAGCTGGCGGTCGTTGGGAGACGAGGGAGGCCTGTTGTAGAGAGGGCGGTGGGGGGGAGACCAGATTAAGCTTGGCGATTAGAAGCTCCGATTTCACCAGCTAGCCATCTCATGTGACGAGGGGGATAGCGTGAGTGAGCGAGAGCGGGCGATGCGCACCAAGAAAACAAAAGACAGAAAATAAAAGCAGGGCGTCGCGTTGACTTTTGGGCTCTCCAAGAGATTTCACGCGAGAATCTTGTCCATGACTATGTTGCTACCGTGCAGTAAATAAGCACCCGAGAGACGCTTCGCTTCGTCAGTGAATGGGGGGGCTGCCCGTCCCGCCGCAGCGGATCATCTCTTGGTCCGGAGCTTTGGCGTGGCGCCGAGCTGTTTAGTTTAGGTGCACATCACATTGGATCCCAGCCCTCTCTTTTTGCTGCATTTTTTGGGCGCCAGCTGTACCAGTCAGTAGCGCTGTCACAGGCCGCCTCATGCATGAATGCCACAAGCCAGCTGGTTTTCACCGCACACTGGAGCATGCGTTGGCACTGACTCGCATCAACGCTTTTGGTTGTGCCCTAATCTGGCCGTGTCTTGCAAGGATTAATGCCTGCCGTGGCTCTTTTGATGCCTGCCACGGCTCCCTGATCCTCTTTCATCACAGTTGTCTCGTGGCTGGCATCCAGTAAGTCATGCAGCCCAACAGCGCTATTGCATGTGCTCAGCACCTACGGCGCCCACAGCGCTGCCTTAGTGCGGATGCTGTGCCTCTCAGGGCATCGAGACTATTGGGACGGGCCGCCGTCCAAGTGCGGGTGTTACCAAAGGGGGGCCACCTCAAAAGATTTGAATCGCTGGTTTGGTGGGATTGAGGCTTAAATCCAAATAGGTAGTGATCAAAGAAATTTGGAACAAAGGAACAAAGAATCTGCAACAGAGGAACGAAGAAAATTGCAACAGAGGAACAAAGCAGTCACAAGACGGGGTCATCTGAGTTATGTACCTAGACATGGACACGGTACAAGCACCATTAGCACAAAGCTTCAGCACACAAATGGTCGTTCTACAAATTGATAATACACAGATACTTAGATAACAGCGCATTGCCTGCTATTCCGGGGTATCTTTCAAAATTACCATGCCAATGAAATGAGTGCTCACTCTACTACCCCACGATACTTCTTACCTCTCTGGGTCTGACCGTATCGACCTTTTCCGAACACTGCTACTCCCCTCTCCGCTATAGCTTGTACCAATGCCCGAGTCTCGAGGCTCGCCCTCTTCTTCCTCATCATCAGCCTCTTCCCCAGCAATGGGTATCTCGTGAAGAGGCTGCTTGTGTTCCTCTTCATCCTTGACGTCGGGCTCATGCTTCAAAGGAGGTTGTTTCCCATAGGTAGGAAATTGTTGCGGATAGTCAGATGCATCATCTCCATCGTCGTTCTCATCATACCCATCAGAGTCAGTCAAGCCTCCTGTGGTAGACCGGCGCTGATTTCTGTGGCTCTTCAGTTCCGTGCTGCTTGACGAAGTCCCCAGCAGAGAACTCAAGATGGCCCAAGCAACGACCATGAACCCGAGTTCGCAGACCCAGAACAGCATCGTAAAAGTGATAAAAGTCAAGAGACGATAATGGAACATGAGCCATCGGAGACCGCTAAGCTGTGCAGTCATTGTAAGGGAGGCGCTGTAAATCTGGATTCCTTGCCCCGCCTCCACCTCCACATATGCCGTCGAAGGTATAGCAGAATCTGTCGGGAAGGTGACGCGTTCTGCCACCGGTACATTCAATACGCAGGTCTGCGATGACGGGAAGATCAAGTGATAGAGCAGGAATAGAATGCGCGAACCCAAAGACACCACAGGATCAACGTAGGGGATCAAAGCAGGTCTCCGTGACCTGAACAATACGTTGCTCTGCTCAAAATCCAAACGGTCATTGGCGAATTTGCGTGCGCTCACGTCCAATGTATCGCTGTATCTCGAATCCAACAGGTATAAGCTAATCATAAAGTTCCCTCGCTCGACATTTGGTAGAGATCGCGGCATGGAGAGGGTCACGGAGATGTCGTAGTCTTGCTGCGATTTCAGCATTGGAACGGTGAGCGCAGCAACGCCATATGGATTGGAGCTCAGCCTATACATTTAAGTGTCAGCGAATGCCATATGAGATGTCGCAACAGCATCATAGGTTGCTATACTCACCCATATTGGAGATGAATCGGCGTAGTGACAAACTGGTCCGGGACAAAGTTTTGGAAGAAGAGCACAGAAGCAACTGCTGCCAGGCAGAGCAATGTCACTGCTCCGGACACGAGCAATACGACATTGACAACGGCCCTCTGAACAGGCTTCGAGGTGACGACGCGCGCGGTCTCTTGGAATGTTTCCTGGCGCACGCAGCGAGCGTTAGCTTGGGATTGACTTGGAGATGCAGACAATCTGAGGGGCAGATTAAAATTACCATGACCTAGAATTACTCCATAGACTGCGCAAATTCGGTTGCGAAAAGAAGACTTAATCCCCTAGAGGCGCCAAGGGCATGCACAGAATAAAAGAAAATATCTGCAAGCGTTCCATGTCGTTTGGAAAGAGACTCTGAGACGTACGTTTATTGACATGAGCTCTGGTGCATGTGATCAACATGACGTCTTAGCCTACGGTGCTGTACTTTAGCGATACATTCCCCTGAATTTCACCCCGCTGCTATCTACACGGCAGCATGGCCCGAAATTGATTTGGCGGGCTAATGGCCAAAGTACCTTGTGGGTATACTTAGGTGATTACCGTATTGGGTACTTTTCACAGAAGGCACATGGGACATTTTGATATTTGATCACTTTGAACAATTTCCAGATGGTTACGTACAAGCTAACATCTACATAATATTAAAAGGGGGCATACAGTAATTCATATCATATCATTGACAGGAGATGAAGCATAAAGAGAGACAGGGTTGTATTAACGAACCGAACCATAAACGAATTAAACCAAGCATAAACAGTTGGATGTCAGCGTTTTTGCAAAAGAAAAATTGCAAAAACATCAGTCATCAAATCATGTACATTCAAACCATAAACAGATCCGTCGTGTTGATCATTCAAAATAAAGGGGGGAAGAGAAAGAAGGGATAAGAAATAAAGAGAAGAGAAGAGGCAAATAGAAGTAAAGACTGTCGTATAGAAACCATTCATTACCGGCCGTTCACTCAGCATTGCTGAAGGTAGTTGCTTGGGACCAGCCCAACCTGGCCACTTCCGTTGTGGACTTCTGCTTCCCACCAGCCGTCATCTTGATGACGATAGACGGCTAGGTAGTCGCCTTTAGCGAAGCCAAGTTCCTCGGGAATAGCCGCCTGATACATGTACATTGCGCGTGCTACACATAACGTTAGTAACATTGTTTGGGGCGCATTTCTGGAAGAGTGTGAGAAACATACCCATATGTAGAATTGGTCGACCATCTCGAGAATATTGTCGTGATGGGTCAGCAACGCTCTTGCTTCGCTGGTGTCCTCCCTCGTACAAGCCCATGGCGCGGGAGCCTGGGCGTACGGAGCTTCGACTTCGAGTTGAGCCATATCGATCATCACCACCACCACCAGCCAGTTGTACCGCCATTTCAGACCCACCACCATAACTGCTCGGTGGACGACTCTGAGAATGGTTGTAATCTCCTCGGTATGGGTTTGGCGAAGCACCCCTAGTGGATCCTCGAGTCGAACCATGGGGGGACGCGCCGCGGTAGTACCCTTGATTATGCTGCGATAAGCTGGTTGCAGAGCCGTTTCGCCGATGATCATGATAAGGGTTCGGTGACACTGAATGGCGACCCGTCTGTCGAGGATCGTTGCTCATGCGCCGTTGAGGCTGAGGGGATGCGCCGCGATTAGTTGCTGGAGAAACCGAGCCATCGTTGCCTCGAGTGCCGGGTCGGGAAATAGGTGAGTGAGCGCTGCTCACAGACCCTCTGCGGCCGTCATCGCCATAAACGCTCCTAGCCTGATTCGCGATCTTCTGGGTAGCCTCCTTCATTGCCCTAGACGTCACAGCCGGGGGAGGGACGCCCAGCCTTGTCACCTGACCCTGTGACTGATACGAAGGCGGAGGTTGGCTGCCAGGCGCTGGGAAGGACCGTGTCATGGCAGCCTCAGTGCTTGGAACAGGCGTAGAAATACCATGATACTGATCGGCCGACATCCTCACGGAGGCTTGCTTGCCCACATTGACATTCTTAAGCTCTGCCAGGGCAGCTGCGATTGGGTCTTGCGGCTCAGCCTTCTGAACTGGCTGCTGTGGTCTTTGTCGATTGGTGTCAGATGTTGTGACGGGCAGAACATTTTCGCCCACTCCGAGAGCCAAGCTTGCATTGGCATCGATCGGTTCTGGGCTGGCGGTCCGCTCTTTCAGCAGATTGCGAGTCTGCGGCTCACTGTTGCCGCTGTAGGGCTGAGGTCGACGCACAGGACTCGTCGATGTCTGTGACTGAGATGGGTGCCAGGTGTTTCTGTTGCTAGGCGTTGCGTTTCCATTGGCGGCGGCTTGCAAATCCTTAGTGCTCTTACGTCTAAATGGACTGTGGTTCTGGAAAAAGCCGCTCTTCTTTTTGAGCATCCGATTATCAGGGCTTGCAGAAGCTGGCGGGTCCTGCTTGATCGGAGACGTTTTGCCACTTTGAGGGTCCTGGCTAGAAATTGACGTGGGATCGGAATATTCGCTGCGGGAGTCCCGTCCAGAGGTCCTTGCTGATTGAATCTGAGGGCTGCCGGCTGATGGGGCACCGGGGCGGCAGAGCATCGTCATTCCATCCTTTGGATAGGGGTCATGAGGGGTTGTTGGTTTTGGACTCTGGTGCCGAGTGTCGTATGGCGATGGCGGCTGCGAGCCTGTTTGGGACCTGCGGAACTGCTCGTCTGCGGTCGGTGGCTGTCTACGGTATTGATCCTCAGCCGCAGGTGGTTGCCTGCGATATTGGTCATCAGCTGCATGTGGCTGTCTTCCATAAGGCTGCTGCTGTGGCTCTTCTGCAGGAGGCAACTGCCGGCGATACTGATCCTCAACCCCTGGCGGCTGCTTTCGATATCGATCGTCCATGCTTGGAGGTTGCTGCTTACGATACTGCTCGTCCGTGGATGGGCGTCCAGCCGGAAGCAACTTCTGGGGGCTCTTTTGAGGAGTCGACGCACCCTCGCGGCCAGTTGGCTTGGGTGGGGGCCTGTGAGCCAAATCATTTGCTAGAGCGGAGTTGGGATCATGGTGAGACTCGAACGTAGAAGGCTGGGGCGAAGAGGAGCGGAAAGCCGGATTGATACTCCGAGGAAACTGCGCCACGGTATAGTTGTGTTCATCTTCGGAAGCCTCAGACTGGGTATCGTGAACATCGCCGCGGACAAAGTTGATATACTTGGGAGCCTCGGGGATTTCTTGGCCTGTACCACGCTCACTTATGAAAGTGATAATGTCAGTCTCCACATCCATGCTCTCTAGAGAGAGTCGAATCTTTTCGCAAGATGCGTCATCACTGACGCAGACCGTTGAGGCGATATTGGCAAATGTCCAGAGGCTGTTCTTGGTAAAGTCGAGCCGCTCTTCCTCAAGGTCCTGGAATTTATCGGCGGCAGCCTTCCATTCTCGGTTCCACCGGACTGTTGTCTCTTCCAATATCTTGACGGCGTTCTCGTATTCCGTGTTTGAAGTTGCGAGGCTGATTTGCGTTTTCTCCAACTTGGCCTTGTTTCGACGTTCTTCTTGGCCCATGACCATGTGGCCTTGTGCGAGATAACCTTTAATTTTCAAGCATTCTTGTTCGTATTTGTCTCGAGTCTTATCCACGGTTAGTTATGAGATGCTTGAGCAGGGGGCTGTGTCTTTCTTTTCCTACCTTGTTCACCTGGTTTGTCTGCTGGACCTTCACCTTGAGCAGCTTCTCGACCGTGCCCTGAATAATCTTTCGTCGCTCCTTATTTCCCCCTGCAAACGCTGCGAGTGGCTCTTCCAACTCCGTCTTCATTTGCGCGGCAATGCTTTGATGCTGCTTGGCTGTGGCCTCGAGCTCGCTGCGGACTGTGTCCAGCGAAGCCTTCAATGTTCCGGTTTCGTGGGTGCCTAGGGATTTCTTGCTAAGGTTAAGCAACTTTCGGGCGTACTCATCTTCGATCGCAGCTCGTGCTGTATCATCATAAGGTTAGCAATAGATTTGACAGCCGGGGATGTGGGCGGATATCCTCACCGCCATAGAATGATTTGAGCTCATCGCAAGTTTGTTTCGAATTCACCATTCGCTCGAGAAGGGGACCGACGCCAGCATCGTCCTTGCCCCAGAAGTTGTTGGCAACTATATCGACAAAACTGTTAGTACGGCCTGCTATCGGCGCGGAGTCGCGAGATGCACTGACATGACATGGCGACGGCTGGGGCATCAGCAATTGCGGCAGGCATCGTGCCCGATGATAAGGGGGGTCGAATCGAATGCCAATTCTTGGGAGAAAATCAAAGTCGTCTTTGTAAATAAAGTAAAAGGCTTGGGCGCTCTCTTGTAATTTGGGCATCCAACGTGCAGTAGCAAGCGTCGTGGATGCAAGGTGCGGATGTGGGTATGGTTATAATGGTGTGTAAACGCTGTAATCTACGGCCACAGCGCCGTAACAGGCGCCGTAGCTTTGTTTGCAGTGGCGCACGAGTGTTGGCCGGGAAACTGGTGGGCGTGGCTGGTCACGTGAGATTGCGCACCGTACCTGATGCCCAGCCCAACGCGGGCTGCCACCCTGTCAAGACAAGGCGAGTACGATTCTTTCTGCGGTACGCCGGAGCCTCTCTTACTCCATCTTGCAGCATCCAACGAGACTCCAGACGCTCAATCTCATCTCGCCGCCCTTGTTCCTTGTTCGCCCAGCCGTTCGGCCGCTGCCAGACCGCTACCGTCCGCCTCCCCAAAACCCTAATTCCTTGCACCTGGCAATCCGGCATTTGGCCCAGCACGACTCCCGAGCATCTTTCACGTGAACCCACTTGTGGTCGTTCGTCCCGCACCAAGAAGCTTCGCCCGGTTCTCGCCCACCAAAGCTTCGGCTCGAAAGCTGCGTCTCGTCACCACAATCGACCGCTCCTTGTCCCAACGCCTCAACCCCCCGCCCATGTAGGAAAGCTTCTCGGTACTTTTCGCTGATAGCCCTCAATTTCCCCTCCTCACATCCGCAGCCCTGCCTTTGGCCCTTTGGCAGACGCCACAGTATTCCATCTCGACCGCCGCATATAACCCTCCATGGTCCCTCCACAAAGAGCGGGATCATTCTCACCAAATCCTGCGCAGACTCTTCAAACTGGCAGTAATCATTCACCTCATCCATCGCACACTGGTATCCTCAGTGCTGGCGCAAGCCCCAGCACAAGCAGTCCAACGGGGGCCAACTCCCTGACGAAAATTGTCGTCGCCCAAGTCTATCTCTTGCTCAGTACCATCAAGGAAGATAAGGATCGCGCCAAGTGGGAGCTGCAAGTCGAACAATTAAGAAAGGTGAGTCTCGGCATCGGCTCTACACTCTGGCAGGATTTTAACCTTCGTGGCCGATGATAGCTTATCGATGAACACGGTATGGAGGTCTTTTCCAAATACTTCACCCGGTTGGTGGCCGGCAACGCACCCCAGATCTTCCCTGGTCTCAACAGGCAGGTCGCCAACCCAGGCAACTACCACATTCTCGTCGGTGAGATGCGCAAGATTGCACACGATGTCGACCAAGCAACAAAAATAGCAGAGTCCGTCGAAAGCGGCACGGAAGACATATTCCGCGAATTCGACTTGTCAACGTTTATGGAGCACTTCAAGCTCGATGCCTTGGAAAAGACCCTGTTAGCTTTGGCATTTAAGCTCGGGTCTCGGCCTGATTTGAAGACTAAAGGTACGGCAGTAATCTGCAGTGCCATGTTATGCTGCTTTTGTTTTTTAGTCTTTCTTTCCCCTTGCTTGATCTATTCAGCTGACCCTTATTTTTAACATAGCGGATGCTATCCTGTCGACTAATTTCCCCACCTTCATGGACATCATCTCTCGGCCAGAGATTGAAGCCCACGCTGACCTATCGCCCGCCTTTGTTTCGCTCATCATCGACAGGTTTTTGCAATACTATCCGCCGAGTTTCAACGCAGCCTCCCGCCGCGACCTTCAAAACTCCGTTGCCAAGCGCTACTTGTCTGTGGACCAAGCGCCCCCGTCTGAAGTTCTGGCGGCCCTCGATATCAGCAGAGTTCTAGCCGATCGGCCCGCAAATTCCCTGGCTCGCTATATCCAAAAAGTTGGACCGGAATTTACAAAGGACGAGGAATCGTGTTCCTCCTTCTTGCGAAGCCGTCCCAACAACATCCAGCTCACCCCCGAGCAAGTCTCTGCCGCACTCACATACACCACCATCAGTCAAAATCCGCCACATGATCCTATCATCCTCGTCAATGCCCTCCTACGCCACGTTCCCAAACCTTTTGTGTGGGAAGAAGTCGTTCTCTCTTTCGATCAGCCGTCGGCACGCATCTCATCTGCTCAATTTTTACGGCTTTACAAAGCTCTTTTGCCCATTGCCGAGGACCCAGCAAATAAACTCGACATCCAGCGGTTGTGGGGTGGCTCTTGGAGCGAGCCTGAGGCACAGCTGTCTTTTGTTAGCGCCTACGCTTCCTTGGGGCCCGACCAACTTGACGCAACTACAATCCCCCACCTCCAGCGAAGCATTACAATTGAAGATTACGCAAACTCCGCGCCCAACGTGCAAGAACGTGCCGCCGCCGTCGTCAAACATCCTCTTGTATCCGTGGCGGCGCTGTCAGCAATCTTCAACGTTGCTCTAAATTCCGTCCACGCTTCGCAGAGTGTCGAGGCAAAACGATTATTCCAGGAAGTAGTCGTTCCTAACCTTGACATTTTCCTCGTGTCCGCTTTTGAAGTTCCCAGACAATCCTGGGCTGCCATGGCAATTGACACCCTGAACTCCCTTTTCGAAACGTTTTTGTACAAGCGCTCGCCGGAGTATGACTTCGTGCTCGATAGCCTTTGGAAGAAAGACAAGGACTGGGTTATTCAACGGCTTATTGATGCGCATGCGGTTAAGCCTGTTGACCTTCCTCTCATCTTCGACCATGCCGCCAAGCACAACTGGTTGGAAGAGCTGGTTTATCTTCCAAATGGCTTTGGAATCGATCTCGCCGCCTTTGCCCACGCAGAGGGTTACTTGGACTTGTCAAAATGGGCGCAATACAATGCCGATAGGAGTAACGAGATTGCTCGAACCTTGTTGCAATTTCTCATGATCAAGGCCAATCTGGAGATTCAGTTCCAGAGACCACCAGATGGCCAACCGCCTGTGAAAACAAGTACCAGTCTTCAGGTGCGGACCGTTTCAGCGTTGTTGCAGATTCTCGAGGATTTCCTGCCTAAGGCGCCGGTTCTCGATCTCATTCTCGTCCAGCGCCACTGCATCACTGCGTACCCCCGATTGATCAACTACGGAGAAGGGTATGACGATATCATCGATGCAAATGGCAAGGATGGAAATGCTCTGCCGCAGGCAGCCAATAGCAAGATGGAAGAGCATTATAAAAAGATGTACGGTGACGAGATTCAGGTTCGCACGATTGTTGAGATCCTAGACCGCTACAAGCATTCGCGGGATCAGCTCGATCAAGACGTATTTTCCTGCATGATTCACGGTCTTTTTGATGAGTACAACCATTATGTGGATTATCCTCTCGAAGCCCTTGCCACGACCGCCGTTCTTTTCGGAGGCATCATTTCCCACAAACTGATTTCCGATCTACCCCTTAAGATAGGTCTTGGAATGATTTTGGAGGCAGTGAGGGATCATTCGCCCGATGATGCCATGTTCAAGTTTGGTCTCCAGGCGCTGATGCAGCTTTTGGTACGCCTCAGGGAATGGCCAGGATTTTGCAAACAGCTACTCCAAATCCCGGGCCTTCAGGGAACAGAGGCATTCAAGAAGGCGGAGGAGATTGTTCGAGATCACGAAGAGGAACTTGCCCGCGCTCGTAACGGATCAGGCACGCCTCACGGAGCGGGATTTCCAAACGATTCCTTTGCGAATGCAAATGGCGACGAGCAGGCAAGCATTGACCGCCCTGCGCCGGCATTCACAGCCATCAGTGTCGACCCCCCTTCTCAAGAAGTCGAGTTTGAAGATCCAGATGATGAGACGCAAGGCAAGATCCAGTTTGTCCTAAACAACATCACTGAAAACACGATACAAGCCATGTGCGTTGAGCTTCGCGACATGCTTGAACGAAGATACCAGCAGTGGTTCGCCAGCCATCTCGTCGAGGAACGCGCCAAGATGCAGCCAAACTACCATCATGTGTATCTCGAGCTTGTGAAACTGTTTGAAGACAAGATCCTCTGGGCCGAAGTTCTCCGCGAGACGTTTATCAGTGTGTCTAGGATGCTCAATTCTGAGGCGACTCTGCAAAACTCCACAGAGAGATCACATCTCAAAAACCTCGGAGGGTGGCTTGGTCTTCTAACCCTTGCTCGAGATTATCCGATAAAGCACAGAAACATTGCGTTCAAACAGTTGCTTATCGAGGCACATGATACCAAGCGGCTGATTGTTGTCATTCCTTTCGTTTGCAAGGTCCTGACCCAAAGCGCAAACTCGGCAGTTTTCAAACCTCCCAACCCCTGGCTCATGGACATTATCCATCTGTTGATAGAGCTCTATCATCACGCAGAGCTGAAGCTTAATCTCAAGTTCGAGATTGAGGTGTTATGCAAGGGTTTGAACCTTGATCACAAGAGCATCGAACCCTCTGGAGAAATTCTCAATCGACCCATCTTAGAGGAGGCGGACGTGCTTGTCCAGGAGCAACTCGAAGCCTTTGAGAGCCTGTCATTGAATGGAATTGGGTCGGCGGTTGGGCCCGGGTTATCCCCTCAGGTTCCAACTATCCCAGACCTCGGGCCGCTTATCACCATCCCTCCCACCAATGAGATGGTGGTCAGCACCAGCAGACTGCACGAGATTGTTCGGACGGCTCTCACCCGTGCCCTTCAGGATATTATACAACCAGTCGTCGATAGATCCGTCACTATTGCTGCTATATCAACCCAGCAGATGATTCGGAAAGATTTCATTGCCGAACCGGATGAAAACCGCGTCCGAACATCTGCTATTAACATGGTAAAGGCCACTGCCGGCAGCCTGGCTCTCGTCACGTCCAAGGAGCCTCTACGAGCAAACTTGACCAACTATATGAGGAGTCTTGCTAACGACCTGCCTTCGGGTCTTCCTGAGGGTACCATCATCATGTGTGTCAACTCAAATCTGGATTTGGCCTGCAGCATCATTGAGAAGCAGGCTGAGGAGCGAGCTGTGCCGGAGATTGAGGAGATGCTGGAAAACGACATGGAGCACAGGAGACGACATCGCCTTCAGCAGCCAAACGAGCCGTATCACCCGACAGGAATCAACCGATGGGCTATGACGATTCCGAGCCCTTACAAGATACAGCCAAGACCCGGTGGTCTCAATGCTGAACAGATGGCCATCTACGAAGATTTTGCCAGACAACCTCGCACCACTTCTTCCACGGTGGCATCTCACGCACCATCTGCCTCAGAGGCCACCAGGTCGTTGGCAAACGAAGTTTTGCAGGAGACATATAGTGGCATGCCCAACATACCTACCCCCGCAGAGACGCCTTCGATCCAACAGCTTGGCGCACAACTCCAGCCCTACGCTCCAGTCCATAATCTTGCCGCTGCCAATGCAATGGGCAACGGACGAGCTGCCGGCTTTCAAATGGATGTTCGGGGTTTGGCAGAGCGAGTCAACAAGCTGCTACAGGAATTATTGCGCGTGGCTGGAGAGGCCCGAGAGGATCATTTTGTGGGCTTGCCTAGGCCGCACCCCGTCCTCGACGTCGTTGATGCCCTTGTGCAGCTCATCATTAAGACGTCTCAAAACTCGGAAGAGTTTGCCATCTATGCCGCCGAGCAGATCAGTTCACTCATCTTCCAACAGGTTGAGGACAACCTTACGCTTGAGAGTCTTGTTCATGTGCTAGAGACTCTTCGAAAGATTTCCGGCCCAGCCCTAAACAGCCGAGTCCGCTCTTTGTTCGCCCAGCAGCCTGGACCCAATTTCCTAAGTCTGCCTCTACTCGCAGCACTGATCCGAACGGATCTACTCGACTGGCGAAACATTGATCTCGCAATGTCCAAGGTCTTGGAAGCCCGCAAGGACAATTCGCTGGAGTTCCTCGAGCACATGCTCGACCTTACCATCCTCAACCATCGGCCGATTGCTCTGTATGCCGACTTTATCCGCACACTCGAGGCAGCATGGACCTGGATCTGTGAAGAGCCAAGCTCGGCTACCGGTCAGCGGCTAAAGAACAAGCTGATGGGCTCGGTTCCTTCTCAGTCACCGCAAGGCCCTTCTAGCCTGGAGGAACAGTCAATTCAGCAAGATCAGCTAGAGTACGTCTTTGAGGAGTGGGTGCACCTTTGTAACAATCACAACGCCTCCAGCAAGGCTACGGCAATCTTCATCCAGCAGCTGCACGCAAGACACGTTATTCGCAACCGCGACGACTTCTTCTTCTTCGTGCGCATCGGTATCGACCTTTCGGTCGAGCGTTATGAGCACATTCTGCACACAGGGGCTATCGGCGATGCTTACATGGCGATCGATGCTCTGGCCAAATTCATCGGCTCTTTTGCCAGCATGAATACTGAAACGCCGGTGTCGCGCGCAGCCTTTTTGGACTCAGTCTTGGTCCTCGTGTCCTTGGTACTGAACCACCACCATACCAAACGAGGAGAACACCTTAACCAAAGGGTCTTTTTCCGCCTCTACTCGATGCTCTTCCATGAGATCTATTCCATCTGCGAAGATCTGCCGGATGACGACCGCCGCGACGTGATGCTGAGACTGGCTTCCAGACTGGAGACCATCGGCCCCCAATCTCTTCCTGGGTTTGTGTTTGGGTGGCTGCTTCTTGTTCAGCATCGAGCCTTTATGCCCGTGTTACTGCAGCTAGCAGACAATGCAGGATGGAAGGCCTTTGCCGACCTCGTCTGCCAGCTGCTCGGCTGCGTGAGCGAGCAGCTCAAGGCATTCAATGTTACCGACGCTGGCAAAGACCTGTCCAGGGGAACCGTGAAGTTGTTTGTCATTTTACATCACGATTTCCCAGACTTTTTGGCCGCCAATCACGTCAGGTTCTGCGCCAGCATTCCAACGCATTGCATCCAGCTGATCAACACAGTCCTGACGGCTACCCCACAGCAAAACTACGGAAAGCCCCTTGATAACCTCAAAGGCGATCGGGTAGATGAGCTGAGGACATACCCCGGCCTTGTAGATGATGCTGTTGCAATCCTGACGGAGGCTGGGCTCTTGAGCATGCTGGACCAGGTCTTCCAAAACGGCCCGGCAGAGGAGGCAGTGGCACAGATTGCACACACAATCACTTCGAACACGCCGACCGAGACCACGTTTGGCCATGTGGCCATTGCGGCGAATGCTCAGATCATTGGCGCAGTTGTGATATATGCCGCCCATCATGCTACTGAGCAGTCGCCACCGGTTACCAGCTCACCCATTTCAGGAAGCGAACCAGAGGTTGCTCTGCTATCTCTGCTGGTACACGAATTGCCTCCGGAGGCCAGATATTATCTGATTGCCAGCATGGTGAATCAGCTGAGATTCCCCAACCCTCACACCGAATTCTTCAGTCAGCTCATCCAGTACATCTTTGGAAAAGACATGAACGACCCTGAAGAGTCAGACATTCGACAGGAGATTACTCGAATCCTCCTAGAGCGACTGGTGGGCTTCTGGCCCCAGCCCTGGGGACTTATCTACACAGTCGTGGAACTGTGCAAAAACGAGAAGAACATGTTCTTCGATCTCCCCTTTATCAGATCGACACCAGAGGTACGTTTGCTATCCCAGAGTTGACACAACAGGAGAAGAAAACTGACCAATATTCAATTAGGTTGCCGAACGATTCGCCTCAGTTATTCAACGGGTATAGGTTACATCGGCAGGGGTAATGGGGATTCGCTACGAAGCCACGAAACTACGGTGGGAGCGGAGCATGAACCTAATCGCATAAGTTTGGTGTGTCGGAGCAAGGGGCACGCTTATTGATTTTGTTTTTCTTTTTCTTTCTTTTTTCATATTTACACTTGTCCTTTTTTGTGTTTCTTGGGAATTAGACGGAAAGGGAAAATAGTGATTGTCAAAGAAAAGTTCGGATTCAGTTTTCCTCGGCTAGGCACAGAAGGGAACGAGGACCCGAGCGGACGGCATAAATGTAATACTTTGTATTGATGTACGATAAATAGCTTTACGATGCGGGGTGGAGAGACTATCACGGCGCATATGGGAGCATTCGAGGTTCATGACCTCTTCGGATAACATTGGGATTAGGATGACAATCATGATGGACATTTCAGAGGCGATAAGATGATGGACAATGCGAAATGAATGGTTCTCGAACAAGTTATTTTGAGGGCTTAAACAGTGACTCTACTCGATTTGAACATGTCCACGCATGACTTGAACTGCTGGTCCGCCAAGGATGACTGTGTCGAGGGCGCCGTCCTTGAGGTTGACATCGACCTGGATGGCGCTCTCCTTGCCCATCTCGACGCCCTGGGTGAATTCGTACCGTCTTGTGGGCGTTGTCTGCTTGTCACCGCCTTGGGTGCTAAGATAGGCGGCCAGACAGCTGGAGGCGGCGCCGGTGGCGGGATCCTCGAAGCCCTCGGCCATCATGCGCGTGCGCAGCTGAACCACGGGGACGCCATCGGCAGTGGAGGAGCCGGTGCGGACGTAGTAGAAGCGGCCGATGAAGCCGTTTTGCCAGTCCTGGTCGAGGAAGCCCTCGGCGTTGAACTTGCGGCCGCTGGCGGTGACTTCGGCGAGGAGTTCCAGCGAGGGCAGCTCGATGAGGGCGAAGCTGACGCCCTTGACGAGGCTGAAGATGGGGGCTGCGAGCTCTAGCTTGCGGATCTCGTCATTGGCCTGCAATTGGGCGGCGGTGATGCCGGCGTAGGAGGAGAGCGTTGCGGCGTGTAAGTGGACGTTGTGCGGGACGGTTGCCGTGGCAGAATCCTCGCTGGTGCGGGTGACGGCGATGCGGCCGGCCTTTGTGACGAGCTCGGTGACGGGGTGGGGGGAGCCCCGGAGGAGGGAGACGGCGGCGCCGATGGTGGGGTGGCCGGCGAAGGGGATCTCGTCGGTGGTGAGGAAGATGTCGATCTGGCGGGAGTGGTTTGTCTCCGGGTCGGCGACGTCGTGGATGAAGACGGTCTCGGAGAGGTTGAATTCGCGGGCGACAATTTGCTTTTGCTCCTGGGTGGGCTTGGGGACGTTGGCGGGGATGGTGACGACGGCGAGGGGGTTGCCGCGGAAGCGGGTGCGGGTGAAGACGTCGAGGGTGATGAAGGGGAGCTCCATTATTGCGGCGGTTGGGATTGGGATTGAAGATGTGGTGATGGTTGGGCTGAGTTTGGTGGTGTTGCCTCTTATATAGATTGCTTTCACATGATGGTATTATATATTACTCTATATATTACTCCGGACGCGGCCTCTGGATTAGTCGATGCCCAAGGGCGGCCACTAGATGACTCAATGTTGCGGACTCCATCCCGAGTGGATGAACGGAGTACTGCGCGCCCTTCTGGTGATTTCGTCATGTCGTTTTGGCGATGCTTTGATAAGCTATCGGACAGATTGAGTCTAGTTGCTGGCTATTGTCGGCCGAGCTGGTAGCGAGGTGCATCTTGTGAGTCTTGAGTGTTTTACCATCTAGACTTGCTTTGGGAATTATATTCCGACAAGTGGTTCTAAGTGTAGGATGGGTGGATGATAGTGCCAGGGAGGGTATGCAGATGCTTTGCGCAATCGGAGTTGATAGCATCAAACAGCAATTGAGAAGAGTCATCTCCAGATGAACCACTAAGATTCATACCAACAAGTTCTCCGAATTACTGGCATACTTATCATTGAGGCATACTTATCGGAATTAATTGTTAATTGTATCGCGTTGCAGGGTAGCTTCATCCTCAGCTTCAAACCCCTCTCCAACAACGGAGTAGCACTGCACTACGCCGCTATTAGTCTATATTAAGGCGTCCACTAAGGTACTGGAGCTACCCCGAGCTACTCCGAACTGGCATCTGCACACATCATGTAATCTCCGTCTCCACCCCTCTTCGACCTCTCCCACAGCTCAAATCCGCAATGACAGATTCCATCATCAGCCTCGACTCCCACCACAACCGCAATCGCAGCCACGACAAAGACAACGACGACGACAGCAGCCACGACAAGGCCTATGACGACCACCATGGCCACTCCAGCCACCGTCTCACCAGCCACGGCCTGACCGCCCACAGCCGCATCTCGGCCCTCATCCGCCACGCCAGAAGCTACCATCGTATCTACCTTGTGCTGCTTCCCACGCTCTACTTCCGTCTCTCCCCCATCATCTTCACACACAATTCCGGACCGCTGAGCGTCTACCTCGCTATCGTCCTCGTCTACATACCAGCCAGGGTGATACTCGCGGCCTGGCAGCACTTTTCACCGTCCTACGCAGCCACGAGGCGCAAGAGGAGGAGCAGCTTCCTGCTACCGTCCAATGGGTCATCTTCTTCGTCACAGAGAGCCAGCGGGGCTGGAGCAGGGCGAGGGATACTCAAACCGCTGGCTTGGCTGTGCGGCGCACTCTTCAGCTTGTGGGCTTACACGAAAGGCATCGCATCGCCCTTTCCAACCGCATCGTCCATTGTGGCCTCTTCGCCGACACTACAAGCACACCGGGCCCAGAATGCGAGCTACTTCATCGCCGCCTCCTTTTGGAACAACGACGAGATACTGGACTCGTGGACATCGCAGACGCTCGAGCTCATCGACACGCTGGGCCGCGCCAACGTATACGTATCCTTGACGGAGAATGACAGCGAGGATAACACTGCCAGCAAGCTGCTGCATTTTGGCCGCGAGCTCACCAAGCGCAAGGTAGCGCATAGCGTCAACATCACAACCGACCTGCGCGGGGATCCGCCCGAAAACCCCTGGCACAGCATCAGGCACAGGATGGGGTACATGGCAAACCTCCGCAACGGCGCCCTGGAGCCTCTCAGCCAGCTCAACAGGCGGTTTGAAAACGTGATTATGCTAAACGACGTCGTGTATCATCACACCGACGTCCTGAAGCTGTTGGCGGCCGTGGGAGGGGATGATGTCAATGGTCCACATGCCGAATCCCCCTTGTCGCACACAATGACCAAGCCAGGAAAGAGGCGGATGGCGTGCAGCATTGACATGGACGGCGCAACGTTGTACGACACGTGGGTGCTCCGCGATCGCTGTGGGAGAACTACCAGCGGCTTCTGGCCCTTCTTCGCGGCAGAGGGAGACAGGAGATCCGTACGCGAGGGGCGCGTTCTCGAAGTCGGCACCTGCTGGAACGGCATCGTGGTTCTCGATGGAGACATGCTCCTCGACCCGCCTCTGCGCAGCAAGAACGCAGACTGGGACGCGGACACGCTTCGCTTCCAGCAGCCCCCAGAGTGCATCATATCCGAGTGCACACTGCTGCCGTTGACCATTACCAACACCACGGGCGGCGCCCCGGTGGTCATGGATCCCTCCGTTATAGTGGGTTACACCGTCAAGTGGTGGAGGTACTACGCCGTCTGGCTACGTTTGCCCATTGTGCAGCTGTGGATGAAAGTGTTTGAGGAGGGATACTGGAAACTCTGGTGGACATTGGGGATGGGCAGCGGCCTCAGATGGAACGGCTTGGATGGCGGCAAGGAGAAGAACGAGTGCGTCGTCACAGGGTGGCCCGTCTGCGACAAAGACGAGTACGCCGTCAAGGGAGGGATGAGATTTGGCAACTGAGACATGTGCAGACCGTTTGATTGTCACGATTAGGCTTGTGGGACCCGGTGAGACACTTATCGCGATGCATGTCTCGCTCAACATGCGAGGACAAGTCGTACCACACACGAGACAGAGGTCTTGCAGGTACAACCAGTGGCCAATGCAAGCCGCCAACGTCCGTCTCCCTTGTTCCGAGCCATTGGCCCAATTGCAGCGGCAGCTCAGCAACACATGACGCGGGAATTGGATAGCTCTGCAGGTCAACGGGCATCAATCTGCACGTCGCGGCCACTGTAAGCAGCAAAGATGGTACTAATGGAAAGCCATTGACCGTACAAAAAGGTGCCCAAGCTCTGCCCAAGGTAGGCGGTGTAATAGATCAGGTGACCGACTACTGTACGGCTCTGTTTTTGTTTACTTTTTTGCTTTGGACTAGCAAGCAGCTTGCATCATCAAACTCGGCCTTTACTTAGATTCTTGACGCTCTTGCAGGACGCGCTGCAGGACCTAGTGCTTCAATGCCTGCAGAATGTCATCAGCGGTAAGGCCTCATTTCGGCAAGCCTGGGATCCAGCGCCTCGAGTCTCCATACAGTAATCGAACGTCCTCTCCACCTCTCACACGACTTACACCTGAAGACCGACTCGAACGCTCTGTTTTTTCTGCGTCTTGGTCGCTTAGGGCGCTTTTGCAGCCCCACCAGGACCCTTGAGGGGGACCCCATGCCTCATCGCAGGGGGAGCGTAGCAAAAATCGACAGCAGGGAATCGATGTATGCACGTATGTGAGCAGTACAGATATGGAGTATTACTCCGTACTCCGTGATTGCTCTGGGGTTGTCTCAGCACATGCCAGACCCTGGGACACATTGAGTGGTATTCAATCAATTTTTTTTCCCCTTTCCCTTCAGTGTGCGCTCGCCCACATCCCCTTGCATGCACACACGCACAAAAAAAATATATTATTTACGTCGACTTTGATCATCGTCAATTGCCTCTTTTGCAGCGCCTCCAGCCTTTGAGCGAATATACTCTGATCTCCCGCCGGTCATGACGTCCACTACTTCGAATACCGAATCTCCGTTTTATTCGCGTGCCTCTGGTTCTAGAAGCAGTCCGGCCACGATGCCAACTTGAACCAGTCTCCATCATTTTATGTGGTCCCCGTACCCTGAAAAAAAAAAGTGCTACCAATTTTTTTTTTTTTTTTTTTACCTCATCGGGCAGGGGTGTCCCCGTCGGTGTTAGTGGTGGCAGTGGCCAGGCAAAGGCAAAGTCAAAGGCGAAAAAAGAAAAAAGAAAATCCAAAAAATATTACCCACTATCTACTTATAGTGCCTGAGAGTGCCGAGCTGCGGACCAACCACAGAGTGGCCATTGTTGCAGGTCTCTGGCAGCAGGCGCCTCCCCACCAGCTCTCGCCAAAAACCCCACTGCAAGTACCTACAAACAGAAGTCGCTCTTGCCGCTTTCGTGCCAGGCGCCTCGGAGGCTTGGACGTCCCTCTGCGGTGGGCCGTGCTTGCCTCAAAGCCGTGGCTGCACTGCAACAGCGAGTGGTCTGTGCGGGCACTGACGTTTAGCGCGCTCCACTTCGGCAGCCGTGACGGGGGGCTCTGGCCAATAGGATCCGGGGGGAAAGAAAAAAAAGTTCAAGCTCTCGTGCTTGCTGCCTCTTTTTTTTTTTCACTTGGCCCGCCAACGCCAAAAAAAAAAAATCGCCTGAGCTTTTTGGTCCGGCTTCTTTTTGCTCGGTGCCAGCCATCCCCCCCCCATCATTCCTTCCCATCCGCTCGTAGAACCGCAGACCGCCCCCCCCGAGACAATTCTGCCTCTCCCTCGGGTTTGGAGACCTTCATACAATCTTCCTAAACACCATCCCAAAACAAACAAAGTATCGTCATCCCCGTGACTCTGTCGTCTGCTGCCTGTCCTGTGCGAGCCAGCCTGTAGTCGATCCCTTCCATATCCCACTCTTCTCTTTCTCTCTTTCTCTCTTTCTTCTTTGCCACCGCCATTTACGTCTTGCATTATTACGTCCACCAATCCAATTACACAGTATCTTTACTTTTAATACCCCCAATAATACCAACGCAATTTAACATCGTCACCATTATACAACCATGCCTTACAACACGCGCCGCAAATCGCTTTCCCTGCCCAGCCTGGGCATTCACATCCCCGTCACGCATGCCTCGCGCGCTGCCTCATCGAAGAGTGCCTCCCGCGCCGCTTCATCCTCAGCCTCAGCGACGCCGGCGTCCAGAAGTGCCTCGCGCTCGGAATCTCCAGAAGAACATCCCAACAAGCGCCACAAGAGGTCCCATGCCGCAGAGACCATGGCTATTGAGAATACCCCGCCTCCGTCGCCCATCCGTGCCATCAGCGAGGAGATGACGGATGCCGACGCAACAACACACAAGATCGACATTGAGAGCATCAAGGACGATATTGTCGAGGCTGTTGTTGTCCAGCTGCAAGAAACTGGCAACCGCCCTCATCTGATCAAGGAGCTGGCGACTGTCCTTACCCAGTCGCTTACATCTGTACAACAGTAGGTTTTCTTCCCTTTGTCCAATTCACTTACAGCCATGCTGACGTTGCCATCATAGATCTGCGAACCCGTGCGCCATTATCTCGTCCCGCCTCGCTTCCTACATGAAGCGGACTTGCTGGTCTGCCTCAGCTCCCTGCCCGCTGGGTAAGGAGCTTGAGACAGTACACCCACGACGCACTTATTATTTCCTCACCACTCAGCCCAGGCAGCCGCTCCCCGACTTCAACGCAAGTCTTCAGGCTGCCTCTCTCACTCCTTCAGTCTCTCTTACCGAGGATTCTGGCTCAGAAGACATCGAGGCAAGACGACGGGAGCTGAGCCCCTCTCCTGAGGTGGACCTATCGGCCACCGAGTTCGATAACGCCGATGACGACGTTGCGATGCCCATGACCCCCATCGGATCGTTCTCTTCCCAGCGAAGCAGACTTGTCCTCGGACCCCGTAACAACTCCCCTCCTCTCGAGAAGGATGAGCGCGAGTTTACACAGACTGCAGACGGCCTGCAGAAGCGCAAGCTTAACGCCGAAGTCCCTCAGCCGGAAACTGTTGAGCGTCACAGTGTCGCCACGATGGATTATTATCGGGATGATGCGTGGTTCGCCGACAGCCGTCCCAGCGCGGCCACCATATTTCTAGCTAGCCCCTCCATCAAGCCGAGCATATCCGCTGGTCGGAAAGAAGATGATACCGAAGCTTGGTTAAGATTAAACAAACTATTCGAATGGGGCAAGGGCGCCGAGAGCATCGAGATTGACGAACTCGATTGTCTGCTAGACGCTTGCTGATTTCTTTTTTCTTTATTATTATTAATGTTATCATTGGGAAGGCGCAAGGAGCAGGGAATACTCAAAAGGGAAAAGGAGCAGGCGTTGGATGGCTTTGTATTTGTAACATATGATGTGGACATGTGCGGAGAGACACTCCCCTGTAGATATACTAGATGATTCTGACTATATTTCGGGGATGATGAGATGACAACCAACCAAAAAAAGGGGCCACGCCAGGAGCGCTTGTGAAAGAGACGGCTGAAAGATGAAGAAGAAAAAGGTGTACATACAAAAGAGCATACCACTCATTGATTAAAAGACAGATTCCGCTTATTTTTCTAACGCTCGATTGTCGCAAGAAATTGTTGGTGTGTGAATGATATATAGTATTGCACATGGTGAGTCGACAGGCCTGTTCGTTGGTGGCGCATCTCCATTATGCGTGCGATGTTGTGAGCGGTAAAAGCATCATGCCGTCTTGTCCTTGGTCACCATTTTCAGTTCGACCCAGACGAGGGTTCCCATCTGTGTGATGTTTGGTCGCTCGATTTTAACCACCTCAAGACCAGGCGTCGCACTCACTGCGTCCTCGACAATAGCTTCGATGTCCCTGTTCCACCAGCATCCGTACTTTGCAAAGTGCTTTCCAGCATTCTTGTCCAGCAAGCCATTCACCAGTCCGTAATAGCCTTTCCCGTGCTCCAGCAGGATGATTCGGCCGGTGCCAGGTCGGACCACAGTAGCGAGGTTGGATAATACGGCGACGGGATCGGAGACGGAGCAGAGGCCGAAGGTCTGGATGATGGTGTCGTATTTGTCGGTATGAGCGGGAGCGGGGAGCGGGTGGTGCGCATCCGAGTTGACGAGACGGACGTGGCCATCTAAAAAGGAGAGCTGGCCGCCTGTGTGATCGGCCATGGACGAGGCTTTAACAATGGGCGCAGAGGCGGCCATGGGCGGAACGGACTTGGCGAGCCTCTTCCGGGTCACATCGAGCATGTCAATGGAGATGTCTAGTCCTGTGAAGGAGGTGATGCCCTGGGGTATCTTTGGTGGGGGGATGTTGCCGGTCCTAGCAGCCTCGACGGCGGTGCTTAGGGGCTCCCAGTTGTAGTACTCCAGGTTGCGGCCGGAGCCCATGGCGAGCTCGAGCACGGTGCCCTTTGCGTGGACGGCGAGCTTCTTGCGCAGCTTGGTGATGCCCATCCACCATTCGGGGAGATTGAGCTCCTTGTCGAACTGCTCGGCATTATCGCCGCTCAGGGCGGGGGGGCGGCCGGTGGGCGTGGCATGTTCACAGGGGGCAGAGGAGGAGCAAGGGGATGACTTGACTGTTGCGACTGTGGTGCCAAGGATGTAGAAGCCTAGGAAGCCGGCGAGAATAGAGGCACCGGTTAGGGGGAGCCAGGCACGGCGCCAGATGTCGAGGAGAGTGTCTGCTTTGGGGGGAGGTGGAGGTGGAGGTGGTGGTGGTGGAGATGAAGAAGAGATATTGGGTTTTTGTGTGCTGTTATAAAGCTTTTTATGTCAGTCAATGTTCATTCAAGATGGAAAGAAGACGAATGAATAGGAAGAGACAAACGGTTTATATGATTTCGTAACGCGGGACGCCGGAGGAGCAGTGGGAGGTTTGGCTGGAGGAGTTTTCACAGCTTGGCGCACGGAAGAGCTTGCAAGGCGGGATTGCAAGGGTGAAAAGCCCACCACGGCCGTGGCGAGGCGGCGTGTTGGGACATTCATCGAGGGAGCATTGTCGAGGACGTGACTAGACTAGCAATAGTTAAAGAAGAGTTTTTCTGCCTTTTGCCCAAAGGTGGTGAGAATGATATCTATCATGTGGGTTGAGGGCATTGACCCGTTGCAGAAAAGACGCCCGGCGAAAGAAGCAATGCAAATGCAAATGCAAATGCAAATACAGTGTGCATGGGGGTCGCAAAGTGGGGCCAACCCTCGCTATCAAGGTGCCGAGATCGCCAAAAACTGTGCGAGATTCGCTACCCTGCACCATCCTGGCTCGGCTCGGCACGTCACGTCATCATTCACGGCTCACGGCTCAGGGGGGGAATGACAAGCAGCAGGCGATGCGAAGTGACTTCGTTTCTGTTTGACAGCTTTGGTTCCTTGTAACGAGTTGCAGCAATGGCGGGCCATGGCGATCTACAGGAGATGCTGCGCATGTTGACGGCGCGCAAAGCGTCCATGATGCAAGCAATGGGTTACATCAAGGCGTTACAGGCAAAGAATCTGAAAAGGCGAGACACCGGCGCCATGAACGCTGGTGATTAATGGCGAACTAACATTTGAGATAACAGCATCGAACAGATTGCTGAGGCGCCTTCATCCACTATTGAAGAAGCCCTCGGTGACGTGAAGCTTGCCAAGAGCTTTCACACGGCGTGCAAGTCGCACGGCAAGAAGAGCAACAAGCGGGCAGCCGAGGAGCCCGCGGCAGCCGACAGGAAGAGGCCTAAGCTTGAAATGCACAAACGGGACTTGGACTACAACTCTATGACGCCTGAAGAGCTCGAAGGGTCGTTGGCGCTCCCTCTGTGCGAGGACGAGGAGCTCATCAAAGAGACTGCGCTAGTTACTAACAGAGCGCCCCTGGTGCTTGCGTTTGCGGTGGAACTGCTACGATTCACGATGCCGGAGCAACCTCCAAGTAGCCGCCTAAGTCTAGCCCAGGCTGTGGTGAGTGCAAACTCGAGATCCAAGGCTATAAGCATTGGCATCGAAAAGGCACCAGTCGATGGAGAGACACCAATACCAACCGGTCAGCCCAAGGTTTCGGTTCTAGGACGAGAAATCCCTGTTTTGAAGAGAGGTGGCTATACATGGACTGATGAGAAGCAACAATCTGTGTCGTCTGCAGATGCGGCAGGCCCGTCATCGTCAGCAGTGACATCAACGGCGTCTGATAGTATATGGGCGACGAGCAGCAAGCTGACTTCAAAGGGATCCGTCTTCGTAGCGCATGCGGCTCCAATAACATCGCCATCCATGCGCTCAGGCCTTATGAAGATTTTGTTCAACAAGTATCCCGACGTAGAGAAGACGGCGGATCACGTTGCGTGGGCAATACGGACAAGCTTTGGCGGGTCGTCCCTCGTACAAGAGGCCTCGTTTGATGATGGCGAGACTGGGTGCGGCAAGTTCATGCTTGAGCTCTTGCGCGAATCAAACATCATAAACACAACTGTTGTTCTCGTTCGATGGTACGGCGGAGTCATGCTGGGGCCTGATCGGTGGCGACTGATGCGCGAGTGTCTCAACGATGCCCTTTCAGCTCAGCGGCGGACATCGTCGTTTGCTGGAGAGGCACTCTGGGGGCTTGACGCAGAGGACAAGAAGCCAACCATATCTACAATCGGCATGGCCATTCACCGGCCTGAGAATGCGAGAAATTATCTCTTACGGAGCTTTGCCTCGGCCGGCGCTGATAGCGGCGGGAGTAAGAAGACCGTTGCAGCGCTGAATGACGAGAAGCAAGAGAACTTGGGGAGGCTGTTGGGAGCTCTTCGACTGCTCTTTGCGAGCTGGGCTGGTGTTTTGGGGAGAGCTGAGTTGGATCGAAGAGCGTGGAGCTGGTATGTGGCCGTTCGTCCCGATATAGAGGCGGGTCCGTCTGGATGGGGGGAGAAGGGCGTGCTGAAGTTGTCCAAGATATTGGATTTGAGACGAAAGGAAGCTTTGGAAACAAAATGATGGGAAACTTATAGGTTTGGGTTTGGGTTAGCGGGCATGATGGTTTTGATGACAGACTACTCAGTATCTAATTTGGCTAATGTACTATATATACATCGATGAACCCCCGCTGACTGGAGGCTGGGGTTCTTTCCTGAGGCGGATGTCCTCTTCTTCATGCATGAACTGCTGGTAGTATCGCTGTGCTGACTTTCATCTCGTCCCTCCCACCCGACGGTGCGTCTCCCTGTCGGTCCTGCGGCTGAAACACCATCGATTTCAGGTAGGGAATATATCTATTGTAGTGGAAAAGAGAAATAGGAGTGGGAACTTGAAAGAGCTGGGATATTTACTAGGTACTCAAGTAAATGTCTTTAGTCGAAAATAAACGGCTTTCCTTCACATCCGGTTTCGATGCTCACACTTTACGCAGTCGCTGGGGTGCTGGCCAGTATTTCCCTATATACTCTAGTATTTACTACTATACCTACATTGATCTAGTATCTGCTACTATCAGGATTGAATTTGCGTATGCCGATATCTAAGAGGGCTGGCTCTTCACTATCATGAAGCCCATGCATCCTACGATGAATGTCACATGTAATTGATCTAAGTGAACGCACACCTTCAGCACCTAGTCGACCTGTTATGTTTCCCCTATACGATTAAATTAATTATATTGTTTTTTCATTAACCTTTGAATGATTACTACCAATATATTTCGTTACCATCAGTATTTGTATATACTACCAAACGCCGAGCTTGTTAAATAACATCTTGGAGCATCTCCCAAGCCACATCTTTCTCTCGTGCCTGTGGCGGGGCATCTACGCCAATCCCAACCCAGCTAGCCGCCCGCCCCCTTTGCGAGCCAGTATCCGTAACAATGCAGTTGTTATCAAATCAAAGTAAACACACAACAAACAAACCCGGAGCTCGTCAACATCCACCATCGAGCTGCCCCTGGCAGGTGCTTACTAACTAAACCAAAAAGGAATCATCACACACTTCACTCGAGGAACCAAAAGTCAAACTTCGTCGGCTCTTGTTTCATCTAAAGGCTCGAGTCTGACCGCGTTTGTGCTCCCCGCGCCAGTACCGCGAATTTGTTGACCCCTCGCCCCGGCGACCAAAAGAACCGTGTTTTTTTCCCCTTCCCACCAACGCCGCGTTTCTTGTGTGCACGGCAACGGAAGACGACGACGACGAAAAGGACGAAGACAAACAAAACCCTGCTTGTCGTCGGCTTGTCCTTTTTCTTCTCTCTTCGCTGTTGAATCCAATCCACTCGTTACCTGATTCTGCAGCCCACCACCGCCATGGAGAATTATCAGAAGCTGGAGAAGGTCGGAGAGGGTACGTTGATGCTGTGACTTGCGCACCTCCCCAATGACATGCCGCAATCATATGCATCAGTGTTCGTTTTCTGACATCATGTCTTCTTCCCCTTATTCTTCTATCTTGCATGATATTAGCCCTATCCTATTATCCTCATGCTAATTACATCGACGTCCTCACAGGCACCTACGGTGTGGTCTACAAGGCGCGAGACCTTGCCAATGGCGGACGCATTGTTGCCCTAAAGAAGATCCGACTCGAGGCCGAAGACGAGGGCGTGCCGAGCACGGCCATCCGCGAAATTTCCCTCCTCAAGGAGATGCGAGACCCCCACATCCTTCGACTACTCAACATTGTCCACTCCGATGGCCACAAGCTGTATCTGGTCTTTGAGTTCCTCGATCTAGATCTCAAGAGATATATGGAGGCTCTCCCTGTTAGCGATGGTGGTCGAGGCAAGGCTCTCCCCGAGGGCTCATCCCCTCGCCTGCAGCAACTTGGACTGGGCGATGCTGTCATCCGCAAGTTCATGATGCATCTATGCAATGGCATCAGGTACTGCCACTCTCACCGGGTCCTGCACCGAGATCTCAAGCCCCAGAACCTGCTTATCGACCGGGATGGAAACTTGAAGCTTGCAGATTTCGGTCTGGCGCGGGCGTTTGGTGTGCCGCTGCGAACCTACACGCACGAGGTTGTTACTCTCTGGTATCGAGCTCCCGAGATTCTTCTGGGTGGAAGGCAGTACTCTACTGGCGTGGACATGTGGTCAATTGGATGCATCTTTGCTGAGATGTGTACTCGCAAGCCTCTTTTCCCAGGTGACTCGGAAATTGACGAAATCTTCCGCATTTTCCGGTAAGAAAGATGCCCCCATTGGTAATGACTTGGCGGGCTTGGTGTTCACGCATCTCGTTTTCATCTGACTAACTGGTATCTACCATGTCCTAGTGCTCTCGGAACCCCTACCGAAGACCTGTGGCCCGGCGTCACGTCCTACCCCGATTTCAAGGCGTCTTTCCCCAAATGGCTGAGAGACTACTCACAGGCGCTGTGCCCGAACCTCGATGATAAGGGCTTGGATCTGCTTGAGATGATGCTTGTCTACGACCCTGCAGGACGGATTTCTGCTAAGCAAGCTTGCAACCACCCCTACTTTGAGGACTACGTGTCTACTCCTGGGCCAACGACGACGGCGCCAGCAAACCCGACAGCAGCTCGCGGTGCCAGCTACTTCCACTAGATGGGCGGAGTGCCTCCGTACCTGTGATGCTCTGTCTTGATGCAGATGAGATGGTGACGTGGACGGCTAATATAGGCTTCCACTTCTGTTGGTTTTCAGGATACTTTCAGCATCATCAAAGGCCACTATATCTTAAAGGGATCGAGGGGATAAGAAAAGCAATAACGTGATTGGCATTGTTATGATGGCTCGTCTCAAATCGGCAGAGTTTATCGCTCAAAGAGTCGAGTCCTTTTTACCGCGTTACACATTTGCGAGCTCACCGACATCTGCTCGCCCTGCCTAGCATTCACAGTTAGATGCCAGAGCGAGGATGGGCAATGCAAAGGGGGTTGTGGACGGATGACGTGGTTGATGCGGGCTTCTCGACGTACTACTGGAGCTGTTGAGGCGAATAACAGCACCGCACGTGTCTACGGATCGGGAAAATACGAGCACGAGACTGGCTCCTTTTAGCAGACTAATGTTTTTTTAATGTTTTCATGTACAGCATATGCAAGGGACAATGCAGGTTTTTTTTCTGGGAGGAACGGGTAACAATCAGCATGAGAATAATAGTAGATGATATGAACGATGGGAAATGAATTGAGAGAGAATCACTCGATTACGAGCACCTGGTTGATTTGTGAAGTTTGTGTCGTTGATGATGTGGACTTGAATGCCGGATTTGCCACGTGAAACACGAACTGTGTGATACACCAGCCAATCGATGGACTCGGGACGATTCAGGTGGTAGGTTTGTGATGATGACAGAGTTGGTCTTGACAGGTGCCACATTTCACGACTTGATTGAATCTGATACAAGTATGACGTGTCTTGTCGGCGTGTTCCAAGACGTTGGTCATGTTTATCCTGTTCTATGGAGCGGGTATACTACTTTGATGTTAAGTCTCCGCAAACCAATGCTCCAGGATGATGACGAAATGTGTGAGATGATTAGCCATTGAAATTGAGGTAAGAAATTATCACTCTATCTTCTAATATACACTTGAACACACTCTTGATATAGTCACGGCTGTTTCTGTTATGCAAACAGGTTTCACGTTATGAAATGGGAGACAAAACAAGCTGCTTGGAGACGTGGAACAAAATACAGAATGCTTTTACGTGAAGTTTGAGTGAGAAGACTAGTAGTGATGAATTATATATCTAATTCCTTTGTAAAGATACCCCGGGACAGCGAGAGAAACATCTGATTACCTACTACCTAGTAGGTAGAGGCGGTCCAAAGACACACATCCCAGCGCATTCTGTAAAACAGGTAGGGATACACCACGCATCACAACCCGGAATTGAAGAAATATTCGAACCCAAAACCTGATGGCTCTGAGCTTATACGCAGCGATGGTCGATGGAGACACCGACCATCTGTTTCTCATCAACAGATCCGGACGACAACACACCATATAGCCAAGACAAGCGTTGGAACACATGTGCCCTATCGACCTCGGTGCGAGGACTTACGCAGTAGACGGCTACAAGGCTCCGGAGGCTGTAGTTATGGCCATAATAGAAACAGATAGTTGTTGAGCGTCACTGAAAGAAATTTGCTATACTTGGATGGATGCCCAAATGTCGGGATTCTGATGTATGACGAGTTACAACAGCAAGTCAATTCAGAGTCACTACAACATACATGCCTGTCATCTTTGAGAATACACTAAACAGATAGCACAGTAGTGTTCAATTCAATAGACTCTTTCTAAATGTTTGACCGACTTGGCCTGGTAACTGATCCCATGTCCTTGTTCAAAGCCTCTGCTGACATAGACCAGCTTGCCTTGACAATATTTTGTCACTTCTGACACTAGACCTACATAACTTCCTTCATGCACCTTCCCGGCTAGCAGAACATCCGAAAGCAAGGTAAGCCGGGCGTTTCAGAATCCCATCTCCGTGTAAGATGGATTTACATGGCAACGTTGGGTCGCAGAAGGAAGAAGATGAGAAAATACGGTGCAGCGATTGGCCAGTTAGACGCAAAAGCGCAGTAAGCGCCCACGCTAAGCAGAAACCCCTTGTATCTCCCCAAGGGTGACATTCATGTTAAATCGAAACTTACCAACACCGGCTGTGATAGCCGCCCGGCGATGAAATTTCAAGGATCGATCCGAGAGATGCAATGCAACGGCGGTTAATTTGGAGACGCGTTTGATGAAACACGGAAGAGGGAAGCGCCGTGTGGGCTGTAGGCCATGTAACTGCGCCGCTTGGGTACAGTGGGAAGGTACTTTTAGCCAATGAAGTATGGTGCAAGTGGGCTGGTCGCGGCTATTGGCTTTGTTGGCTGTAGATTTACTGAATATTCCGGGCTTTAGACAAGATTCCAATGAGAGTCTGTCCTGGAATAGTTAAGATTAAGGGATGGCTTGTGTCGAGATTTGGTAATTGCAGCCTTTCAATGTTTCTTGAAGGTTTGGGGCTGTGTAGCTTGAATAAGGTATTGTATGGAAGCTTGGCGGACCATTGCCGAGGGACCAGAAGGGCATGTGCAAGAACCGCGACAAATCCCGAGTGTATAGCGAGGTAGAATTGTAAGGCTTAAAAAAAACTAAGGAGAAGAAAAAGGACGCATCCATCGCACCCCGAGTTAGAGTGCCTAACGTGGTCTAAAGAGCTGATGAGATGGGTGTTTATTGTGAGACATGCATAGGGGCTGAGAAGGCTATAAGCCGGCATGTCCTTTGAACCGTGGTAGTATTCGCTGATGATGCGCCAGTCTATACGGAATTTACGAAGTGACACGAGCTATTACAGTGAATTCCTCCGGATTAAAGGCGAGAGAGAGGCTGCAGACATGTGAATGAGGTCTTTTGGTGAGTTGTGGTGGATGGACCGGGGATGCCCGAGCAAGAGGTTGCAAGAATAGCGATAGCGATACTGCCTTGTGAAAGAAACGGTTGACCGAGGAGAAGACGAAAAGTGAGACATTGGGGCATTGATGGGCGACGAATAGGAAGCGCAAGCTTGGACAAGAGAGAGTGTGTGAGAGGGCGTAGTTGGGAAGGACATGAGAGGATGGAGCAACTTGTGCTTGCATTGCATTAGACTGCATGAGATGAAGATATTTCCGTGCCCAAACAACGGGATGATGATTAACTCGTGGCGATAGTACCCAATAGATGCCATGGTTTCTTTTTTTACCCCTTTACTACACGTATGAGTATATTTTGTGAGTATTATGCTGTAACCCCCCCCCCCCTCTCTTGATGTGACAGTGGAGATGCACATGACCGAGCGCATTACAGGTTTGGTTGGAGTAGAGGCTGCGAAATCCAATGCGTTTTACCCCAACATGCCCAGAGCCCTCTCATTAGCATGTGCCATGCCATACATACCCAACCGTGGGTGTGTGGCTACATCATACTACATAGCTCGCCTTGCTTTGCTTGTGATGTGTATTCTCTAAAAAGTCCTCATCCTGTGACCTGGGAGCCACATCGTCATCGACGACTCGTGCAAGAGAGGGAGACTCACATCACTTGATGTTGGAGTTTGGTTTGTGATGAGGGTTTCATTTCGATGGTGTGTGATGGATTGCATTTTTGTCTCGTTTTGCGAGTTGATACTCTCTGTACAGAGTACTAGTATGGGAGGATTGGTATGAGTTACTTTGGTAAGAAGAGTGTGATTTAACTTGCTTATTAGCAACTTGTGCATGCATATCCATGTCGGTAGTCGTGGGCTTGGCCTTGCATCTACGGAATATACAGCATTCCATCTTTGGATCTTACTTGTGCAGTGGTGTATCACTAACGTGCCTTGTTACCAAGCATTACGGCTGCCAACAAGGCTTACCTGATTCCATTTTCCTTGGCTTGCCTGTCTTTGACTCGGGAAAATAAAAAAGCCCAAGAAGGCGAATAAACTCGTCCGCAAAAGCTGGGCTGTGCACCTCGTCAAAAACTGCCTACCCTGTCCTTATCCCAGGTAAGCAAGTTTAGCAAGGTATTCGATTCCATAGCCAAGAAGGCGAAAATTGCGTGGTCCCCCCAGCAATGTCTCGATTCTCCAGCCACACTCAACAACCTGAAATGAACCTGGTCAGCCACAGCTCGACATGGGGGGAACACGGGACACGGAAAGATGGCGCAAATCCCCCCTCGAGGTACGTACCTACCTTCATGATGGGTACAAGGTAGCATCGCGTTGGGCTCAATCAAGAGGGAACGAAGGTGCGCCATCTTTGTTTCAGGCCGCACGAGCCAATCAAGGCATGTTTCGCTGAGGGAGCAAGAAGTGAGATCTGGCCGAGGGAGGGTTTGATTGATTGATTGTCTACGGGGGGAACTACGGGAGTACAAGATCGCCATGTACCTCGAGTATGGGTACCGACGAATGTACCTCTAAGATGCCTTGTTGTACCAGCATCAAAGCAATAATGAATTGTCTCAATTTGTCCAAAGAAAAGGGAAAATGTTGCCCAACCCAGCATTTGCTTTGCTTTGCTTTGCTTATTATTAGGTGCATGAAAAAAATTGGGATGAAAAAAAAAAAGGCATCATAGGTCCCTCTTTTTTTCTCTCTCCCGAACACGATACCCGTACATAACAGTGGCGGTGAAAGAATAATGGAAGCAAAAGATGGAAACGTTCGCATCATGCACAGGCGTTGACAACTAAGCCTGCGTTATTACTATTACCATCTAATCCATGCCCTGGGCTGCTGCCACTGCTATATCGGGCGGGCGTGCATTTCGGCAACAAGCCCCGTACTACGGAGCCCAGTCGATGTCGTGTCTCGTACATGACTTTTTTGGCGTGTATTACCACCCAATTCATTCCTAGATTATACTCGTACGGTACCTCTACTGGTTTGTACAGGTTGGAAAAAGGAGTCGGAGATGGTGGCCACCCGCTCAGTCACATGTGTGGAGGCGACCACTCAAGGCCCGTCGTTTGCCCTGGGAAAGGGAGAGCCAATCAATGCATCAGTCGATTCCAAGTTGCCTCTCGTATAATCCGCCGTAGTGTACGAGATATGACTGGGCTGGCAGCAAC